CACATCACCAACTGTCACCAGACTGACCGTGAGAGGCACAGGCCCAGGGACCATCCTCCAGAGTCCTCAGGACACAATGGACCATCCTGTCTCCTTGAATGGTGAGAGACTGTGCAAGCTGTGCAAGGGCTGTGTTCTTTATTCTGAAACAGGCAACCTGGAGGCCTCAGACAGAACAAGCAGAAACATCCCAAACCTTCCTGGTTTCAGCGAGGACAGGACAAGGCAGAAGACGACTGGAGTGTCAGGCTCCGCAGCCCGTCCCTCAGGAGGCAGGTCCTTCTGGAGCGGCTTTGCTGCCTGCTACCAGAGACAAACACAGGTGAGGCCATGTGTGCCATCACCAACCACGTGAGATCCGAGGAGCTGTTCCTGAGGTAGGCAGGTCAGAGTGGTCTCAGCAACGTCTGCATCTCACGTCCACATTCTAGACTTGTGTCCATGAATGGTTAGCATGCACTCCCTTTGATTTTTACAAGACTTAAAAAGTCAGGAGAGGATGCTGAGTAGGAAGACCAAGGCAGAAGATGGCAGGGCAAGCCTTGATTTCTCTGGAAGGAAGGCAGTGTCTTGATTTACAAAAAAGGTCTCAGGGTGAGTCACCCAGGCGAAGACCATTTTATCAAAGTCTGAAAACCAGAATACAGAGCGAGGATACAGACTGCAGGTTTGGAAAATCAAAAGAGAATTTCTTTGGGTTACTGACACACCTTTTGATGGTATGGTATTCGTTCTTCACTGAAGGAGCTACCTACCATAAAATCATTTTGTTGTCAGTCAGGGGCAAGAAATGAGCCTTTGTGTGCATTCAGAAACCAGACCTGCTAGCACCACACAGTGGGAGCTGTACCTTACGTAGTCCACTCACTACCCTTGGCAGGACTCGGCACACTTTTTAGGGGCCAGAGAGCAGGCATCTTAGGTCCCATGCCCATCTGTGTCTGTCAGCTACTGACTCTGCCGCTCTAGGCAGCACCAGAACAAACGGGTGTGGCTGTGTGCCAACGAAACCATTTATAGATGTGGACAGAGGGTCGTTTGCCAAGCCATGACTGAAGGAAATTCATTGTATTCCCTTCTCCAGTAAAAGCAACAGGGCAAATTGTATCGCTATGATGATCTCTCCATTTATCTGGCAGATTGTTGTTCTTCCCTCACCGTGTCCCACTCTCTGACTTTGCTTACGGTTGTGTCTCCAGCACCAGAACTGTGCCCGGTAAACAACAGGCATTCAAAAATATTTGCTGAATGAATGAAAAACAACATGGAATCAGAGACGGGCTGGAGAGCAGAGTAAGAAGGTGACAACCAAAGAAGAAGAACGCTTATAGCACGTTCTCTAAAGGCTCACGTACCCACAGAGCAGACCTTCTGCACCTGTGTGCCTACATCTGCATGAAAGTGGAAACGATGCACAGTCATGGCCGGATACCCCCTGGGGTGCATGCAGAGACCCTGGGAAGAAGGGGATAAGAGCTGCTGCAATATTCTGTGGTCTCCTACCAGGTCCCAGCTATATACACATATTTTAATCAAATGCTCTTGAAAACAGGGTCTTCCTAATGAAACGTGCCCTCCTTTGTTCCTGTTTTGTGGATGGTGATGGAAATATCAAAAAGGGCACAGGGTGGGGCGTGTTTGGAATCAGGGCCAGCATCGGAATCCAAGCATCTAGGGATGCCTCGCTCTCTTGGGAAAAACATGAAGGAACTTTGGGCAACGAGCAGCAGAGCCTTCGGGAAGAGCTCCTGGGCGGAGGCGCCCCATCTGGGCCAGAGCAGCGGAGAGGAGGGACGCCCTCCATGGGCGAACACTGGTTGGGGTGAGAGGGCAGTCGTGAGGCAGCCCCTCTCTGCTGAGAGGGGAGAGGGAAGAACCCCCAAGGAGAATGAACACACAAGGGACCTCCATGCTGCAGAAGTTCAAAAGATGCCATTTCACAGTTCTCATTTTGTAGTCATCGAAGAAAATTCCATGCAGCTTTGAGAAAAACACAAAGCTGAATCAGTTATAGAGATTACATCGATTGCAATTTTCATGGCAGCAATTTAGTTCCAGTTGCAGGCAGGGATTGATTCTTAAAATAATTTATATCATTTCCTATCAGTTGAGACAATCAAGTAAGAAATCCTTATTCTACAACCCACACAAGAAAGCTGGACTGTTGCTTCATAGTCACATCACGTGCTTATTGAATACAGGATTCTGTCTAATCTTGACTCATTTCCCGAGAATGTGGGACATGTCCCTCCTGGGATCTCAGTAGCTCTCTGGCAGGAAGTCACACCGGTTACAGCATCTGTTTAGTCTGACTATATTTTTATGTCACTTTCTCATTATTGTCTTCCTTCCACGGATATTTTAAATCTAAAGAAATTATGATGGTCAACTGCCTGTGGCTGCTGTAGCCCCCCATGGTGATGTTCTTGGAGCACCAGAGAAGACACCCACTGGCACCAGGTCTCCGGGGCCTGGCATGCTTGGTGAGAGAGTCCGAGAAGGACACAGCAGGCCTTGCCGGTGTTGTCAAGCAGAAGGGCTGAATGCTTAGGTGCAAATGAAGTGAGTAAATATCATTCTTGAGGATTATGAAATGTTTGTAGGAAAACCAGTTTGGGATTAGAAACTAACACTTTGATTCTTCCAATCTCAAACCCTTTGCATTTAACCCACTGAACTATTAATGATAGTTGAGCTTCAGAAAAATAAGCTGAATTTACACAAGCTATATGAGATCTTGCCAATGAAGTAATTGGGCAAAAATTCAGCTGAGGTGATGAGACTGCATGTTTCATTTTCTGCCTGGTCAGTTCCACTCCTAACACATGGTAATGAAGACACGTGGTGTACTGGAGGTGGATGGATCGTGAGCCTTTCTGGCTTTCACAACTAAGACCTGTGATGAAAAACCCGCCACCCTAACCACAGCCCACGCCGCGACCATGTCACCAGCTGCCACAGCTTACAAACTGGAGGACTTGCAAGGAGTTTTGGTGATTTGTATTGACTGCCCTGTCCTGGTTTTGGGGTTTTCTATCAATTATTTGGGAAACAACAAACAAGAATTCTGAGATGTGAGTGTGCGGCCAGGGTTGTGGTGAGGGTGTGAGAGAAGCCAGAGGATGAGTGATTGTGCACTCCGGTCTGCAGAGAGAAGCCATTCTACTCAAAAGGAAGGCTGCTGACTTGTGTCAAGTCACTATCCCTGTAAGTAGTGGAATCATAACGACACACCAAAGGAACGGGTCTGGGCTGCAGATTCTTGAAGGAGTGAGAAACTTTGAAACTGCCTCTCCCAGTCCACTGGTGATGGTGTGGGCTCAGACTAGCAGGCCTATCCAGAGGAGGTTTGAGCCCCGCTGACCACCTGGGAAACGCCTCATGGACTGCATGAGACACACTCAGAAATGAGCAGCCACTTAATTTGCCTATTTTGGGTACTGAGTTTTTAATCTTTTTAAAGAAAGATTTTTTTAAGATGACTTTTAAAGATTTTTTTAGAGAAACAGTTAAAAATCCTTTGCTTACCCCTTCTCCCTCTGCCAATCAAGTCTAGCATAATCCACACTACTGATCTTAATGGCACAGAAAGCAGATTTTTAGGAAAAGCAAGTAAGCAAATCATCTGAACATAATAAGTCTGGATTTTCTACATGTGTGAATTATTCGTTTTCTGAACTATCTGTGGCGACGGTGCTATTTCACAGAACTGTGGAATCTTAAAAATTCTTAGGGGGAAGGAAATTGAGAGATTACTGAGTCCAAGCCCCTCATTTTTTGGTGGAGGAAACTGAGGCCCTGGAAAGAAGAGACTTGCCCAGGGTCACGTGGCCAGATACCAGCCAGGCTGGCTCCCAGCCGGACACATGGCCCCACCCAGCTCCCTGGGGCTTGGTCTCCTTGGTATGGACTCTTAGGTTCAAATTAGACACATATTTTAAGAGTCATCTCTGAAGAACATTGATGGTAAATCTGCTACTGCAACCCCGATGTGGTTTGTGCTCCAGGTTAGACATAAATGTCAGAAGATTATCCTGTTGTTAGGATGACACTGCCATTCTTTAAAAAATGAAGACTGAATTCTGACTGATGGTGCCATATTTACTCATCAATTTAAATTATGTTATAGACTTTTAATTTCTGGTTCAACAAAATTAAAAGTTGTTTCTGGTACTTTAAAGATTCTCAACTTTTCCACCTGTTAGTCAGGCAGCTGGTTAATTTTATATTAACATAATAAACACCTAAAAGCATCAGAAGGTGTCTTACTTAAGGACGACCTTCCAGTGACTATTTCTGGGACGTCAAATCTTCCAGTAATCTCCTCCTGGGTAGGATAAGCTTTCACAAGCCAGTAACCATGTCCCCCCAAGCGTTGCACCGCTCTGAAGCAGGTGGTGATGCCAGAGTGACCTCTGACAGGGGCACTGAGCAACGCTGCCTTAGCAAGAGCACCTAGGAAGCCCAATGCCCACACTGCGGAGAGCTGCTCTTCATAGATCTGATAGCCCTCTGACGTGCCATCAAGCGGCTCCAAAGCTCAGAAGACCAGTGTTTTTAAAAGGCAGAATGTGTGGTGTTGCAGAGGGCAGAAAATGAAGATGATATAAAACCTGAGTTTCACAGGGCACAGGCATGGCTACAAAAATTTCGATTCATCCAACAGTTACTCTATTCCACCCTTAAATTAAACCTGCGCCTGATACAAGCAAGTGAAAATGTGAGAAACCTGCAAGGGCAGGCTGTCAATGCTCAACGGACCTCTAGAGAGGTTTCCACTCCACCAGGAACTAGATGAAAATCGAGAGTGAGAAATGTTCTTCTAGCTAATGAATAGAGACTATTTAAAAGAATCCATTCTAGCATAAACTCATCTGGAAAAGGCTGGGTCCTGTTTTTATTCCCACACTAAGATTAACTGTTCTGATTCCCAGGTCTCCATTAGCTGCTTAATCATGACTGCTCCCTGGGCTGTCCACTTTAATTAACTAAGCCGGTACCTCCGGATGGCCACAGTGAGAGCCTCTGGTGAGCTGGCACAGGGACAGATGACCTCCTGGCGCAGGCCTTTACTTTGGAAGACATTGAGAAATGCGTCACAGGAAGAAATAGACCCTAGAGTGACAAAGGGGATGATAATCAGATAGCGGAAGCAATGTGATTGATTAAAAATATCCCATAATATAAAATGCTTTTGAAGTTAGGACTTAGGCACATGTGGAGTTACGCAGCATGGAAAAAATATTTCTTTTCATACAATTTATCATTTATGTTACAATGAAAGATGATATTATTCTCAAACTTATAGAACTTAAGAATTTCAAAACAGCAACTTCTATACTTAATCAAAACATTTTTGCTGACTGATGAACTTAACTTTTCTGAGACTTGTTTTACCATTTTCAATATGCATGTTCCAAGAGATAGGTAAATCTAACCTTCACTAAATGAAGTTTCCTCTATATTAACTTGAATGATGAGACCCAGGTGTAATTACTAGGGACCTCTCAGCTAAACTATTCCCCAGTACAAGTTCACCTTGCTTCACGTTAAGACACATTCTTCTGTAGACTTAGGGGTAAAACCAGTTGTATATTGAAATAGCTCACAATTTATGGAGTTATTTTGTAAATGGAAGAATCATTTATAAAAGTAATACTGAATTATCTGTTTGCAAGCCCACTTTTGCATATCAGATGTTCTTTAAGAAAGAATACACTGTTTTAATTTACAAATATTTATGTTGCAGTTTACAAATGTGGTCAGAAACAAACATTCTTTCATTCATTCACTTTGCTTCTGGCTTATATACTCTTCTCATAAAACGCTGGTTTTTGTTTCACCTGACTGAAATATTTCTCAAGGTATATTAACAGTATTCTGTGGAACCGCTAATTTACTTTCCTGGGTAATTTTTGCTATATGATTTGATAATGAAATTCCATTAGAAATGACAAATTAATTTCCTGACCAATAAAACTACTAGAGACCATAAAATAATAATAGTTAATATTTCTTGAACACTTATTATATCCCAAAGAACTGTATGTAGGGATTACTTCATTTAATCCTCATACAAACTTATGATTTAGGTACCATTTTGCAGCTAAAGAAAGAGAAGGATTTAAAAAAGTAAGTCATGTTCTCTACAGAATCAGGAAGCAGAACAGCCAGGACTCAAGCCCAGTGTCTGCAAGGCCACGTTCTTGACCATCATGCCACGGTGCCCTTAAGCTAGTGAGCAATACCGTTTGGTTATTATTTTACGACAACTTCTTAACTAAGGTCAAGACTAGAAAAAGAAAACCCGGAGCGCAAAGCATGAAACCTGGAGAGCGAGGACTCTCCTGCCTGCCTGCCACTTGAGCAGCAGACTGGTCACTTACAGGGGTTTGCGCCATCGGCCACTATCAGCATCCGGAGGGAGGAGAGGTTGATGTCTCTTTGATCCCTGTGTGCCACTAATGCCCAGTGCATGTCCCTGGACTTCACACAAGCCACCTTTGCTGAGAGAGAAGTAGGAGGGAAGTGAGTTAATATGTGCACCGTCAGACCATGCGATATTAAATAGAAGCCATTGTGATGAGGGACAGAACACCCGAGGGCCACCCCGGAGATGCACCTTTGTACTGGCAGACCTTCTGAATCCAGGAGAGCGGGTTCACCTTCATCAGCGAGTACGGGATGCTGATCACATGCATCATGTTCATGACGCTCTGAAAGCAATGACACATGGAGGTGAACCAGCGCGAGAACACAGGAGGCGCTCTCCCCACCACACCAACTCCACGTGGGGACAGGACAGGAGCGGTTCATCCCACACCAGGGGTCCTCAGGGAGAATGCATCCCGGAAGAGTCCTTGAAGAGACTTCAGAGTGGAAGTGACTTCTTAAAGGCTTTCTAGTCCTCTCGGCTCTTGATTTTTTCCTTTCCAAAGCCTTTTTTATAAAACCTTTAGTTGAATGATCATTTTTTAATGGCCTTTCATAGTCTGGAAGCTTAATTCTTTCTAGTGTATTATACTAGCTTTATTTATTACACGTTGCACTGAGATGTCATGGAATAGTGGAAAGTTTGTCTTAATCACCCTTAGTCTTCCATCTAGCCTTGCTAAAGTAGATTGGGAACTCTAAAGGGTTTGCTCCTTTAAAATAGATGAAACTATTCATCTATTTATTTATTTTAAATAAACTTTTAAAATAAATGGTTAGTCCCTGCATGCTGCAGGCAGAACTCACAGCTGCTTGCGTGTCATCTGGTGCAGCTGCACTCACAGACCTGGCAGTTAAGGAGCTACAGAATGGGGAGCATGGGCAAAACCCTCCTTGGTCAGTTCTGTCCACATTGGGATTCTCTGCTACCTCAGGTGGGGGTGGAGTGAGTGGGCGCAGACGCTCTGGAGAAAGCTGGTCCAGTCCAGGAAGCTCCAGGGACAGTGACCACCTACACCCTCCCCAGTGTGAGTGAGCCTGCGCACCGCCAGCACGCGCCCTCTTGCCTCAGTTGCTCCCCCTCCACGCTGGGGGTGAGAGCATTTTTCACCACATAGAAGATGCCACAGAAGAGTGTGTGTGTGGCTGTCCAGCCAGAGACCTGCCTAGCTCTAGAAGGTGGCAGCAAAAGAGAGACTCAGAAACTGCTGATTCCTGGGGCCGGCAGAAATCCAGAGCAATGGTAAGCAGGGGGGTGGAATATCAACAAGATCTACTGCAGATCCACCACAGAGCTCTTGACAGCAAGATTCTCACAAGAGAGACTACAATGGCAGCAACAACAGAAGCTCCCATCACAACAGTCAAGCAGGTAGATGGACTAGGTGCTCATTAGGCCACAGGATTCTCACACAGGAGCATCATCCCACTGGACAGATAGGAAAGCTGAGGTTCAGAGTGACTCAGGCCCAAGTGACTTGCCTGGAGCCACAGAGCTACCGAAGGGCTGAGATACAAGCCTATGTTCTCTGATCCCATCTCTTCCCACCAGGCCAGCATACTCGTGAGCATGCACCTTCCGCATCTTATCATCGCTAGTATCCAGATGGTAGAAATGAACTGCATTGATCACAGAGAGGAGTCACTGGTTTGGAGCCCCAAACCTTTGGTCTGTGTGATGCTTGCATGCTCTTGTTCTAATAAATTCTGGTTTATCAAGAAACAACTAATCCCACTTTCTGTGTTTATGTTCTTATCACTTATGCAAAAATGACTAAAATTTCCTACTTCAGAAAAGATACAAAGTCTCAGCCTAAGAAACTTAAAAATGAAAATGGGTGAGTGAAAATTACCACATATGAGATAGACATGGCGAGATTCTAAGCAGTTACACTACATGTATTTTTTACGTGCTAAACATATCTTATGTAAGAAGGTTATTTCTCTATTAAAAGTGCCTACAGCTTTGAACTGCTGTCACTTACTAAGTGGCACTAACAATTATGAGACATGCATTCTCTACAATGCATGTTGAATTTTCATCAAGGGGAAATCTATAAAGGGCTTTTCCTCCTGTAGCACATGGACTAGGTGATTCCCTAAATATTCATAAACCCTGATTCAGAGAGAGAAAAAGGAACAAGAACGTGCCAGCCAAATCACATATATGGGAAAGTGACCCAAACAAAGATGTCGACAGCATTACTGTGCAATCTTAAATGCCAGAAGCAGGGAGGAAAGAGACAACTTCCCATGAGCCTGAAAAAGGCTGCGTTCAGCAGCTATAACCTCATGTGGTTCGATGACTCAAGCAAGAAGCTGCTGAAACCCACAGGGTTGACTGTGCTTCTGAAAGTTACATTAGCTGACAAGTTAAGACTTCTAACAACATGACTTTTCTTTGTAATGTGGAAGGAAGGGGCTTGCCAAGCGGCTGTGCACAGAGATCATGATTCTAATTCTGACAGTAAGCAATTGAAATGTAAACAGGACACAGCAGGGTTGGGGGCACACTTACTGTTAGGATTCCATGCCAGAGCCCAACATCTTTCTTGAAATCCAACACATTCACAATTGTTTCAGCTGAACAAATAAAAAGAGATAAAAGATTTTTACTTATGAGACACAGGCACAGACCAAAAGGCAAAGAAAACCCAACATCACAAAAGGGGTAGTAACAGATCTTGGAAAAATATCATTCACTTTATCTTTGTAGAAATTCTGTAGCCTCCCAACCCATTTAAAAATGCTGGCCTGCCTGGAAAGTGTTTCTAGATGGATATTCTGACATGTACATTAACAGCAATAGCTCCTCACAGCATCACTTAAAACACCTTATTTCTTCTCTTTTTATATATTTATTTTCCTCCTCCCTGCCTTTTTTCCTTTTTTTAAAGATTCTTTTCATTTCCATTATGTGTTCTCCCAGGAAAGGGAAAATGCTGCTGGTGAATCTGGAGGAGGGAGGCGATTTCCAGCAAACGTACTTCACTGCACCCTGGAAGCCTCCAGGGTGAGGCTGGGATAATAACGGAGGCCAGGATTTGGAAGGTCAAGGAGGGAAGAGCATTCAAGGCCTATGGGGGCAGCTCTTAAATGGGAAGCAAGAAGAGAGCCTAAGAATAAGGAGTGGAAAACAACTACTACGCTGGCACATGGAGGCCAAGCTGGAGAGCCAGCTGCCAGTGATGCCACCAACAGCGCTTTTTAAGTCAACTTGTCAACTGGCCTGGGCAGGTGGTCCAGCTGCCCACACATCTGCCCAACTCCACCTGTCATCGAGCCCCAGGCATTTGCTAATGCCTTGTCTTACACTTGTACTTGGTTCTTGTGACCCTCGCCAGAGGTTCAGTATCATGTGCCTCACCCCTTCTGTGGTGGGCAGGCAGAGGGACTTTCAAAATAAACATGCTCAAAGGAAACAGCCTATATTCCATTTACACAAGTATTTTTCTTAAATCGAGACATAAAGAGCAAATATATACGTTTTCACTCCCCCAACCTCCTCAAAAGTGACAGCCCGGGACCTTCAAGAAATTAGAGCAAGGAATACGGTTATGAAGTTGTAAGAAATGCTGGAATTAAAACTGAGAATGCTGACGAATAGGGTAGTGATGATTAGAGGCATGTGCCTCCACATGTGAAAGTGTCTGGGAAGCTAGTCCAGGGACTGAACCTCAGCAGAACATCTCCATGAGACAAGTGAACTGTTTTTTAAAAGGGAGATTACCAGAAGGATGCGGAGCGAGGGAGACAGAAAAAGAATAGCAAAAAAGGAAAGCATTCATCCTCCAGTGCATGACAGACACCACCACCAGCTTCCTGGGAGACCAAGAAGAGATTCCTTGGGATTCCCAGGTGGGAACCAGCACCTGGGGGCCTGTGACGTCTCCAATGCAGCGACCTCCAATGCAGGTCACCTTCTGTGACCTGGTCACAGAAGCTCTGGCCAGAGGGATAACTGGTTATCTGGGCGGACTCCTCTCATGAGCCCAGTCCGTGCTGTTACCATGGTTCCCTCTGGCCACTTGACCTCTCTGCCTCCATGACTCTCTCATTCAAGGGAGAGAAAATACATCATGAAAACCACTGTTCTCCATTGTGGCAGCCCAGCCTGGGGAGCTCGCAGAACCCACCCAGAAACTCGGATCCAATTGGTAGGGGTGGGCTGAAGCATGGGCATTTTTTAAAAGCTCCTAAAGAGATTCCAATGTGCAGCCAGAGATGAACCACCTCGGTATTAATTATCTGTTATGGCCTGAGTTGTGTCCCCCACAAATTCATAGGTTGAAGCCCTAACTTCCAATGTGACTGTATTTGGAGATGGGAACTCTAAGAAGGTAATTAAGGTTAAAGGAGGTCATAAGGGTGGGGCCCTGAGCCAATAGGATGGGTGTCCCTATAAGAAGAGGAAGAGACACCAGGTCTCTCTCTCCACATGCACAGAGGAAAGGCTGGCTGAGGACACAGCAAGAAGGCACCATCTATAAGCCAGGAAGAGAGTCCTCACCACCAGGAACCAAGCGTGACAGCACCTTGATCCCAGACTTCCAGCCTGCAGACCTGTGAGAAATAAATGTCTATTGTTTAAGCCCCCAGTCTGTAGTATTCGTTACGGCAGCCTGAACTGACCAAGACACTAAACAATCCAACCAGTGAACCTTAAGTTGAGCTGGGTGCACACTTAACACTATTCTTATGGCTACTAGTGGGAACAACACAATCCCTCCACTGTCAACATGCATCTCCAGGGCCAATCTGGAACAGGGTCCCGCCCATACCTTCTGTGTAGCCACACGCCTGTGTGAGGGCCTGGCAGTGGGTCAGCAGCGCAATCCTTGTCACGGTCACCCCAAGCACACTTCCATCCTTGCACGTCTTATACTGAAATGAGACAGTGTGTGGACAAGTGGTACTGAGAGAACAAAGCATGGGGCCCACATCCATCAGCTCTTCCAGTTAATTAAGAGGCTGCGAGTTCCCTGATCCTAGACCTGTGTAACTGTCAGAAATGCATGAGACTCAGTTCCCAAAGCTCATGTCCAGACCCAGGGACTTACCTCGATATAGGCGGTGTCGTTATTTGCATCTTTAATATGTGGGAACCAATCTCGAGGAGGTTTAGAGAGATGTTTTGACTCTGTGACAAACCATAATAGCTTTGGCCAACCTTGGAAATAAACGACAAATTCCTTTTAGGTAAGCGTTACCCAGAAACGAGGTGTATAGAATTACTTTCCCTGTTCACATGCCATGCTTTACACCACCACAAGCTAGATGGACTCTGATGTTTCCAGTAAGTCTAAGACAACATCAACAGCGCCATAAGTCACAGCTAGATAAATCACGCCACACCACAGGCTGACACCACGTGATGTGTTATCTGAGACATTCACTTGTGGAAAAGCATGTGGCTTGCAACTGATGGGATGTGGTACGTTCTTCCCAAGTGAAAAGCCGGCCTTCTGACTTGGCATTTGGGGCTTGGGCTACCTTTGAACTGTGGGATCTCCCCTGTTGGGCTTTTCGGCAGGCCTTTGTGGCAAGCATCGCTCGTCAAGGCTACCGTCACTCCACAGCTTCCAAGCAAGAACCCGATCTGCTGGCTTCCTGCATCCTGAGAGAGGGCAGCAAAGAGAGAAGAGTCACAAAGCCAGTTGATGGCTGTGCTCCTGGCAAAACACGACCTCGCCCCCAAGTTCTAGGATGGAACGAGCCTCCCTGAACAACCAGCAATTCGAGGCACAGGCTGGAGTCTGTGGAACCGGGATCAAATCCCAGGCTGCCACCTGCTAGCTGCGTGACCTTGAATAGGGTAGCTTGCTTGCTTGGCCTCAGTTTCCTCATCTGTACCACTGGGGTAAAAAGCAGAGCCTCATAGGTCTGTTATGAGGGATGAACCAGAAGAGCACACGTAAAGTGCTCAGCATGTGGCTGGCACGCAGTGGGTCTCATTAAAATGCTGCTGTTAGGTTTCCCTCCAGTTCCATAAGACTGTGACTGTAGGACATAATTATTGTGGAGAACAGAAAGGGTCCAAGAAAACATCTTTGTACTTAATAATTAACTGCTATCCAGTGCCTGGTTTAAAAACTACTCAGAGCAAAGGGCTCTGATGTGTTTGATTACATCTGGTGTGGGCAGACTAGGCATCCATTCTGGACCAAAGAAATGAAGACCTGTCACCTTTCTCCACCCTGAGCACATCCCGCCTGATGGAATGAGGACATGTATTTAGTGCACGTGTATTGGTGGCACAGAGGGCTGCCCCTGAATGACGACACCAATTCAGGGACATGGTATCCGAGCGGATGTGCAGGATGGGGCAGCACGGGACCCGCCGACCCTGTGAGTTCTGTTGTTTACTGTTGCCAGCTGCCCCATAGGAAGATGGATGAGCAGCAAGTCGGTTCAATTCAATTTCTTTACTCCCACCAGTCACTCTGGCTACGATTCAGAAAATAAAACGAAAGCCGTGAAGGAGCCGACATCCCTACACAGAAACACGACTACTGTAAACCTATCACCTCTGTTTGTTCCCACATGGCTCCGCCTGAACCTTCAGACAACCCGGCAGGCCTGTCACTGGACCAGACTCGGTCTCCTGCTGCTCTGCCCGTCTGCGCCTTGCTACCAGAAAACGTGAGAGGATGCTGGTTCTCACGTGGGTAAAATCAGCAGCACCAACATCTCAAGGCTGTAGCTCTCACGTGACTAGTTCACACTTTTCCTATTGTAGATTTAAACCTACAGTGGAAACCAAGTACCTCTCTGTGGAACTGTGCACAGCCAACCTCCCATCGCCCGCACAGCCCTGAGAGGGGAGAGGGGGGTCTGGTGCTCAGTGCTGGGACGTTACCAGAGCAGGGACCCGCATGGTTCTTTTCCTTCAAGCAACACTCTTTCAAGTAGAGCTATGACCAGTCACTTTGATGTGACCTTGGATATGACATCACCAAACGTCATGACCACACAAAGGGGAGGGGAGACAGGCTCTGAAATCAGGTCAGCAGCAGGAAGTGTTGCTTTGTGAACGTGAACATGCCGGCACGTCCACAGCAAGGCCTCGTGGGACAGCTTAGGACGGGGAGCACCAGTGGCCTGCCGAGGGCTCTTGCTCTGATCGTGGTCCTCCTGGCAGAGACCTGCTGTCCCCTGAACACTGTCTTTCTAATATCTGCTCCTAAAGACACCTAAAATACAGAGGAAGAGATGAGAGACGGCGTGGGAAGGAGAGTAACTGGGAACAGGGCGCCACATTTACACAAAATTCAGCCTTCAAGCCTACTCCTCCCTCAGCCGGGAGAAGCTTCCTGTCCTCTTCATCTGGAAAATTCCTACTTAGAGCTCCAGTCAAATGTCAACTTCCCAGAAATAGCCCTGCCCGCCCACTGCCATCAGGTTGAGATGAGAGCCCGTTACCCGCACTCAGAGCGGCCTGTGCATCTCCTCTACACACTGCGACCCTTGAAATGCCTGGAGCCTGGAGCCTGGAGCCTGGAGCAGAGCCCCAAACGTAGAGCCACTCTCAACACACAATGTCAAAGCTGAGGTCCTCTGTGGGCCAGTCTCTCCACAGACCCCGAGGACAAGGATGTTTGGACGTACCCACACCATGATCCACAAGGAGCTCTCACACCCCCTTTGGAATATCTGTCTCCATCTGGCCTGACACGAAGCGACTCAGGGAAGCAGCTGCCCACTTCAGGAAGAACATGAGTAGCACAGGTCTCCCAGCACTCGCACTCCGGCCCCGACACCATTATCTGTGTGCCATTCCCAGAATGAGCAGTTTCTGGCCCATAGGTTCTTTCTTAGACAAAGGCAGGGGGCAGCTCGCTGGGGGCCTTCCTCTTAAGGCTGTGCCCTCAAGGACTGCTGCTGATGACTCCTGTCACAAAATCTTGCTAATGATTCTTCTCTGCTGTTCAAGAAAAGCTGGGCCACACCTAAATTCAAACTTTCCTCTGACTTTCGATCTGTCTCCACTATGTAGAGAGGTGACTGATCACGTCACTTCCTAGGAATCTTCTCCTCACCCAGTCTCTCTGACTGCATTCAACAGGCCAGTGTGGACACATCACCCGACCACCATCCACCCCAGTCCATTCCAGGCTCCCTGTCAGAAAGCCTCCATCACATCCATAAAAATGATTTTCTCTCTAATAAACGCGAGTTAAGTTCATGGGAAGTCCCTCTCACGAACTCATTTTGGGTTTGTGGCCCCACAAATACTAGCTAGTGTTTATCCAACTTTGTTCCTTGCCTACTCAAATGGCTGCCTTAACTGTTTGTTAGCTCCCAGGAGGTAGAGTAAGACAATAATGCCAAGGTGTACTGGAGACAAGAACTTCAGACACATTACTCTGCAGAATCAAGACAAAATATGCTACAGACCAGTAAGTTTAAAGATTATTATGGTCATGCAACCAGGTAGATGAAAGAAATGTGACACAAGAAATTTCCCTTATAAATACTAAGATAAATTTGTCATTAATATATATTTTTTTGCCAATTAGTTTTTAACTTTTTATTTGTAATGGAAATTCCAAGTACCCACAGACATACAGAGAAAAGGAGACAGAAATCCCATGTACCATCATCTAGCTTCAACAATTATCAATGTTTGACAAACCTGGTCTCATCTTTTATCCCAAACACATGCATGCACACACACAGACCAGATTTAAAATGAATCCCAGACATGGGCACATCCTTCCACCTATACATACTTCAGTGGGGTGGATTTTCGCCCTTGAGGAGCCCTGGTTCCCTCCCCACAAATCCTCGTCCCAGGGTCTCCTCGCTCTGATTTCCTCTAGCAAAACACACTCCTGAGAAAGGGCTCATGTGACTGTTCACATGAGGTTGTAAAAATGTGACATTGATATTACTCCTTCCAGAGATATTTCACTTTAAAGGACATTAGAAAACCTTTTTTAAAGCAAACAAATGGATTGTGTTAGAAGTCTAAGGAAAGGACAATTTCCCTGGGTGTAAGAGATCGAGCCTCCCAAGACGGTGCTTCTCGAAGGAGGGACTCCTCTGAGCCCTGGTATGGTATGGTGCTGCCCCTGGAGCAGGCACAGAAGCGAGGGCTGGTGGGCCAGGCCCTGGCCGGGTCAACTCCTGTGGCTTATGGGGCCCATTTGTCTCTGGTCCTATTACACTCAGAACATGCACAATTCGGCTCCTCATCCTAAGGCCTTGCTACTTCTCCGTCAGACTCATGTGCCGTGGCAGAGCCTCTACTGGTGGAGGGGAAATTCTGGCTGAGCCGACTTTTGCTGGCTGACAGATCCGATCTGCTGACAGCTGGCCTCAACAGACCAGCTCAGCTACCTCACAAGGGTGATGGCGACAGGCATGTTCCAGATCTGCTGTGGCCACTCAAGGCCCTTCTGGCACAGTCGTGTGGATGCTCCTCCCTCGCCCCTCCACACTCCCGGGCCAAACTATCGCAGGGACACCATTTCTCCTACTCTGAATGCTTCAAGGGAAAAGTGAGCTTGCTCCTCTCACCCCAAGAATTAGAACAGAGAATAAACAAATGCATGTGAGACTCAATTGTTTAGTTAGGTTCATTAAACAACAGTCAGGATTCAGAAAATGTGGTTCTTGTGAGGTCCTTTATCTTAGGACAAGTCTGGTGGGCACAGAACTGGTAGATAGAAGAAATATTCACACTCTTCATCACCTACGCTTATGTGCACATCTCACTCCATTCCCAGCTACACTTGAGCCCATGGATTCTGTTATTTAAAAATAAGCAAAGTTTTCTAAGACAATGAACATCATATTCTGAAGTCACAGAGCCTGAAGCCTGACGCACAGTTCTGGCTTAACTGAGACATGTGTAAGCAAAGTCATCTCCTGGTGCTGTTTCTCCTCAGAAGATGCTCTGATAGAGAGATGGCCAGGAGGGAACCTCAGCCCTTTCTTCTGAGAAGGGTTTTCTGGTCCCGAGGCTCAGGGTGATAACATGAGGGTCTGAGTGGGCCTGGGAGGTGAGTGAGAGAGAGCCACCTGGGAGGTCACAGCCTGGGATGCCTAAGACGGTGGGCAGGCAGGTCCCAGGAGGACTGAGGAGGCATAGGTGAGGAACCCTGGCCCTGCAGCAAGGACTCCCAGCTCCCCTTCCTGCTCCGACCAGGATCTCCAGCATCCCATGCCTGCATTGACCCTCGCTGAACCAGTGGGGTCACCACTCAGGGTTCTTGTCAGCACAGGGGCCTGTCGGGACCCAGTGGATAGGATAAAGCCTACCCAACGACAGAAACCTCCCTTTCTGCCGATTATGGCTGCTGTGACTTCACACCCTCACACTCAGAGAGGTTTCCAATACACTGAAAGTGAGCGGTGCATCCTTTACCTTTCTTGTCAGTGGTACTTCGATGGGCACAGGAACGACTTCGGCAAGCAGGCAGCCATAGAAGGCCACCATGGAGGCTGCGGGGTCGTTGTTGGGGAACACCAGCGCCACCTGGACGACACAGGGGTGGGATCTACCATTAATAGGACACCATCAGCTTTTAAAACACCATGGGAGGACGCAACCCGCCACAGACAGCAGGTCGCACTCTAACTAAGAATGGACAGGGGAACAAAAATAAGGTGCCCTGTTTAAAAATGCATTTTAGTAAGACGCCTTTTAATAAGTATCGTGTACTTTCCTTTAATTTTGTGGAAGGCAAACATATCACCAGTCATCTATAATGCTGTACAGAACACAACTATCCTTGTTATTGCAAGCTACCTTCCACATCGACATGTATTTTTACATAGATGAAACTACAGTGCACACACTTCTGTTTTCCACTATTCTTATGGCTTTATAGACACTTCCTCATCTTTCCATGTGGTCTTCACAACTGGGACTGAGCGTTGTGTGCTTTCTTACTCCGTGCTGGCTGGCAGCTGGGAGCAGGACCACACAGGACTCATTCAGATCCCGGGTCACCGTAGCTCCGGGATCTCGGGCACGGTCTTAGTCCCTCTAAGCCTGAGTTTTCTTATCTGAAAAACAAGAATACTCATAGAGCCTACAGCTTAGCATGTGGTCCAGGTCAAATGAGAGAAGGCACGTAAGAGCTCAGGGTGCCACCTGGCACACGGCATGCAGCCGTGAACGTGAACTACCCGGTATGCACTGACTCTCGGTACCAGCAGAGGGGGCGGGCCGTCAGTGAGGGTCTTGGTTTTCTGCCCTCACAGGTGAGCTTCAGAGAACATCTGCTGACACATGCTCCCCCCTCCACTACCTCCCCAGTGCGGCCTCTGAGGAACTAAGAGTAGATAATCATGGAGTTCTAAAAGTTAGGTTAAATTACCATCAAATAACCAAATAATGGATAGTATGATTTCAAAAATGTTTCCCCCCCCAAAGCCCCAGTAGATGGTTGTATGTTATAGTTGCACATCCTTCTAGTTGCTGTATGTGGGACGCAGCCTCAGCATGGCTGGAGAAGCGATGCGTTGGTGCACGCCCGGGATCCGAACCCGGGCCGCCAGTAGCAGAGTGCGCGCACTTAACCGCTAAGCCACGGGGCCGGCCCACAAAAATGTTTTCTAATAGTCCTTAGGGTACCTTAATGACAAACAATCTTCCACGGGATGGCTTATAGTTATTCTTCCTCGTATGAACAGTTTTCATTTCCCTTGCCTATTTATCTGTTAGTGTTTTGACATTTCCCCTGAAATCTGGATGAATTTTAAGTATATTCAATAATATTAACTTACATTTGATGCAAATACTTCTTGATCTAATATTTTGTTATATTTTTATTTGTGCATTTAATGTTTGATGTAAATTTGTCAAACTTTTCCTTTATGTTATCACTTATTTAACAAATATTTCACCCAATTTAAATTCATCTGGAGCTCACTTCAGTGTCTGCAGCATAGACACTACTAATTTATCGTAGACCCAGCTGGCTCTCCTGCTAGCCCATGCTCCTTCTGGAGTAACCCTTGTTGTTCCCTTGCTTTGGAAAGCCTCCTTCAGGACACGCAGTTGTAACAGACAGTCCTACTTCTGGATTCTCCACTGTGCGCTGCGGAACTCTGCTTCTATCTTAGCATGAGCCTCTCTCACGTGTGCAGTGGCATAGGCGTTTACACCTTCTCATGGACAATTAAGTTTGGTATGTATTCATGGGAACATAAATCCCATGATTGAACATATGTATATCCTTGTGCATTATCCCATTCAAGAATTTAACCAATTTTTTCTTTAAAATGTCCTAACTAGAAGGCATTAATTTTGTCATGAACAGCTAGATAAGACACCCTATCTCAATATCTAAATAAGCAGGTTGGTGTCCTAGTATTCAGATGGCCGCTGAGAATGGAGCAGGTCATATCTTAAACTTGTCTATGTTGGCAATTTAGCAATACAGGATGGTTGGTGGAAACAAAATTAAATTTGGGATTATATGAAGATTTCCTTTCTATATGGCATTCCTGCAGTTTATGAAAATTGGCTACATGACAAAGAAATGAGACTGTAAGGCAGGTTAAAGCCATTCTGCACTACTGAGGAATTTTATTCGAGAAACCCTGTGAAATAATTGTTGATTATATTAGTCCTTATTTTGTCCCAACAGCACTCAGTCAGACGCCAGGCTACCACATTAGTAGGACTTTCAAGGAGGAATAAAAGGATTTATCTGTATGTCTATGCATATGAACCACAAACAATTATTTTTAAAAACTATCTGAGGTTTGCATGAGCCTCGGGTGTTCTGCCTTCAACTGGTGGGCTGAAAGCTGATAGCATCTGTTTTTAGATCTGGATCTGGCAAAGCAACAATATTAAAGGTAGTATTTGCAAGAGTACCACGGCCACACGACTTCTTTCCCTAAAATAGACCAAGATGTTTGAGGAAGTCATCAAACTGCAGTAAAAATGCAGAAGACACTGAAGTTCCATCCAAAACTGATGGTCACAGCCATTCATGGAAGACCAGTCAAATGCTGACTTGTTACTCTTCTGGGAATATCTATTCTGAGGCAGAAGTCTTCATCAAGAGAACAGAGATAAAGAAGGTGACATTCCCAGAGCCAGACTGGGTTAATCCTGTTTCCCAGATTAGGGTCTGGTTCCCATCCCAGGTCTGCTCAAAGGAAGATCAACTTGACCCAGGATTTAAAATTCCTGCTGCTTTATCACTGAAGTTCACGCTGATGACGCCATCTTATATCGCCTTGCAGAGTTGTGTTAAAATAGGATGCAATGTTATATTAATGTAAAGTGAATAAAAGCAGAATATTAAATTGTACATTATTGTATGCTCTCAACAATATAAAAGTAATGGACAGAAAAAAGTCAAATACCTAAGCCTCTTTCAGAATCAAAACTGAAAGGAATTTTTTTTGCAATTTGTTTTAAGGAAGGAAGTCTATACTTACATCATCCTCATTAGGTTTTCCTTTTAGATCTGAATCAGTCACATGTCCTATTTCCTACAGACTCCACAGTGATTCCAGCATAACACTATACATACAGGCAGATGCCTCATTTCCTTGAACCCACACAGGCCCCTTCATTTCATCCTCTACGTACTCCTTTGGTATTTCACTGTCCCTCGTTATCCACAGAGCACAACAAACCAAGAGGTGAGAGCCCATCCTGAGCCTTTGCTATCTTGTTAAACTGACTCCGTCTTCTTCCTCCATGGCTCTTCCTATACCCAGCCCTACTGTCCAAGTCTGGCTTGTTCGTCCTCTGCATCCCACAGACTTCCCCCACCGAGCTTCTTTTCACATCTTCTAGAACCTGACCAAGGGCTCACTGGCTTACTTTTTCTCCCCGAGAAGGCTTCTCAGATCCCAGATGCTCCCCAAATGAAAAAGCTCTCTCTCTCCTTCCCTGTATCTCTCACTGCCTCCTTTGGGGAACTGTGTCACTTTCTAATTTATAGAAAAGCTAATTATCAATGTGTCTTTATTTAATACTGCAAGCTCCCTGAAGGCAGGCTTCACATGTGATGCATCTATGTATCCTACTACAATATCCGGAAAATATTACTCCTACTACAATATCTGGAAACCCTATTCAGCTTAGGCACATAAAAGCCCAAGAAGGTACTCCCCAAAGTGCATTAACAGGGTCACCTACATGAAAAGTGTCTATAATTTTTATGCTAAGGACTGAATGTTCACTATTCTGGGGAAAATTATGTTTTATTCAAACATGGTTTTCAAAGAAGGTAATGAATCCTGTTTATTGAGACAGAAGGTTATTATCAACTGAATACTACAGTCATGTATGCTTATTTAATAAATATTTATACACACATGCCAGATGCTAGCCACATCAATAATTTTTTTAAGGAATAATTTAGAAAAGTAGTCCCCTTACACAATTCAAACCAGCATCTGCCAAAACATCTCTTTACGTATTTTATTCTATCAAAGCTGTGCCCCTCACATTCTTACTGACATCCTAGCTGAACAGAGGTGGTTTATTTTGTAATTGCTATTGCAGGGGAACTTGAAGAATCTGGAGGCTATATTATAAAAGAATTTTTTAAGTAACTACTAAGACTATTAAACAAATTATAGATAAAGGAGATATTATATTACAATTGACCTTTTTATTGTGATAAAATATATCTAACAAAGTTTACCATCTCAACTATTTTCAAGTGTACAGCTCTGTGGCATTAAGTACATTCACATTGCTGTACAACCATCACCACCATCCATCTCCAGAACTTTTTCCTCTTCCTAAACTAAAACTCCGTCCCCATTAAACACTAACTCCCTATCCCCCAACCCAACCCCTGGTAACCATCATTCTTCTGTCTCTATGAATTTAACCACTTAAGTACCTCATATAAGTGGAACCATACAATATTTGTCCTTTTGTGACTGCCTTGTTTTACTTAGCATAATGTCCTCAAGGTCCATCCATGTTTTAGAATGTATCAGAATTTCCTTCCTTTTTAAGGATGAATAATATTCCATTGTGTGTTTATACCACATTATGTTTATCCATTCATCTGTCCATGGACACTGGGGTTGCTTCCACCTTTTGGTTTTTGTGAATAATGCTGCCATGTCCATTGGTGTAGAAATATCTGTTCAAGTCCCTGCTTTCAATTATTTTGAAATTGAAGTAAAATTTATTGGATCAAATGGTAACTTCATGTTTAGTTTTTATAGGAACCACCATACTGTTTTCCATAGTGGCTACACCACTGTACGTTCCTACCAGCAGTACACAAGGGCTCCAATTTCTTCACATTCTTGCCAACACATTATTTTCTGTTTTTTCATAACAGCCATCCTAATGGGTGTGAAGTGATATCTCATTGTGGTTTTGATGTACATTTCCCTAATGGTTAGTGATGTTGAGCATCTTTCCATGTGCTGATCAGCCATTTGTAAATCTTCTCTGGAGAAATATCTACTCAAGTCCTTTGCCCATTTTTTAAACTTTTTTTTTTTTGGTTTCTGCTGTTTCTGCTGTTGGTTTCTGTTGTAGGAGTTCTCTATATATTCTGGATACTAATCTCTTATCAGATGTATGATTTGCAAATATTTTATCCCATTCTGTATGTTGCATTTTCACTCTTGAAAGTATCCTTTGGTGCACAAAAGTTTTTAATTTTGATAAAATCCAATTTATCAATTTTTTTGTTGCCTGTGCTTTTGGCATCATATCCAAGAAATCACTACCAAATCCAATGGCATGAAGCTTTTCCCCTATGTTTTATTGTAAGAGTTTTATAGTTTTAGCTCTTACGTTTAGGTCTTTGATCCACTTTGAGTTAATTTTTGTATATGGCATTAGATGAAGGTCCAACTTCATTCTTTTACTTGTAGATACCCAGTTTTCCCAGCACCATTTGTTGAATAAACTATCCTTTCCCCATTTACTGTCTTAGCATCCTTACTGAAAATCATTTGACCATATATGTGAGGATTTATTTCTGGGCTCTTCTTCTATTCCACTGGTCTATGTCTGTCTTTATGTCAGGCCACACTGTTCCGATTACTGCAGCTTTGTAGTAAGTTTTATAATCAGGAAGTGTGAGACCTACAATTGACTTTTAAAAGCTGGAGGTCAAACTTGTTCAATGAAAAATGGGAAAGGATCCTAATCCACCACAGAATCCTGGGGCTGTAGAAATCTTTTTAAAAATGCCCTGTAATGGGCCCCCGTCTCTATAATCTCTCTCAGTGGAATCAGCTTGTGTTCTTGTTGGTTTATGGTGCTCTACAATGATATTTTTATAAAATTCAATGGGGAGGTCCTTTGGGTGCAGGAGGATAAACCAGTCTTGGGGCATCTGAGGCACACACCAGCACATGGAAAAAAAGGTACTAATTTGAAGGCAAGAAAACTGGGTTCTATACCCAGCCCAGCATCTAAATCAGGATGTAAGGCCTGGACGAGACTGTTAATTGCTCTGGGTGTAACATTAAAATGGAAATACTAATACCTGCCCTCTGCAACTTATCAAATTGCAGTAAGAATAAAAATTTGCTTTTTAATGAAAGAAGTAGCCTATATCAAGAAATTTAACACTGGAAAAGGAATGGTACCAGCAGTTTGCTGCCAAGATGGTTGGTCTCACTGACCAATGTAAAAAAGTTTTAAATATAATTGTCCTGCTCACTCAGGAAGATGACACAAATATGTTTCAAACCAGGAGACAATATATGACAGCAGTTAGGAACACAGGCATTGGGGTCTGACAGAAATGGATATGAGTACTGGCTATACTACTTACTAGTTTCGTGCCTTCATCTGATATGATACTTAACCTCTCAAGTCTGAGTGGCCTTGTAGATAAGACGTGACAAATACCATAGTTTAGCTCACTGAATTGTTGTGGGATTAAATGACATTGTGTAATTGCTCCTGGTTCAGAGTAGATGTTAAGAAAGCCTTATTTAGTAATATTAGCACTAGGAGACACTGTACTCGGAAACTTTAAAACAGTAGGTACTTTCCACATAAGACGATGTGTTTTGCATATGCAATAATTTAAACTGCACTTACCCTGTCCCCAGGTCGCACCATAGGCTCTTGCTTTGTACCTAATTTATGCAGAATGTTGTAAGCAACCTTCATACTTCTTGTCCACAGTTTGCCTATCAATACAAATTATAAAGACACAAGTAATTGGACACATGCATTTTCAGTTATGTGTATACGTGCACATTAAACTACACAGACAGTATTACTTTATCATTTTCAGCCTTCAAGTTATTCTGAGTCCCTGGAATCAAGACGGGAAATAAAAACCAGCAACTCTGACTCATAAAATCTGAGAAGCCTGAACAGTGGAATAAGGTGCTAATACAAATACTCTTAGTGTGCAAAGAACCTATAGCAAAGCCATAGACGATTTTAATTATCATCACAGAAGTTGTGGGGATGATTTCCAGGGAGTCAAGCAGGGCAGGGACCACAACGATAGTGAATCACTGCTAATTTGTGTTGCGCAAAATGACACATATTTCCTCTGTTAACAGGTCCTGTCTTGTGTGGCTGTAATGAACGTAAAGGGTACTTAAGACAGTCTTTATAGGGACTGGTCCCTCTCCCTCCCAAGTCCTAAGCTTCTCAACTTCAAATTATCCTAACCCCAGGGTTTTAGGGTTTCAGAGAGGAATATTTGAATTTAGATAAAGATTATGGTAAAACTCTGAATTATTTTAAAGTTACAAAGGCTACAAAAAATGACCACAAAGCAGGATTTAAAAATTGTGATTAAAAAAACCACAAAACATTTCATAAAAAAATGACCAGCTTTGAAGAGCTTGCAGATTTCAAATCTCTGCCTTCATCCCAGGGCCAGACATTTCCTCAGCATTGTCCAGGCTACAGCAAATAGTCTGAGATGGAATAAAAATAACTTTTAAATCTAACATGAGTTCTTGGACACATAAAGGCCTCTTACAACTTCAGCTTCTATGAGCTCTCAGAAGTAGCCAAGATGTTAGAAGTTGTATTAATACAATAATAGTACAATAAAGTTAAGAGCAATTTTAACTGTTTCCTATAAATGCAATCACTGTTTCAATCATTTTTGTATTTTAAATGTAAAAGCTAAATTAAAGTTTTTTGTTTACAATATATATTTTGAATGAAAAAAATCTGAATTTGTTTTAGTTCATATTGGATTTTGCAGCAACCCAAATTAGAGTCATTACTGTTTATTCACCACAGGTGTTATCAATTTGTCTCCCCTGAATGATTAGGGGACAAGGAGAATGTTTTCATTATCTGTGATTCCTCTAATTCCTAGAACATTCCTTGTTCACAGCATGTGCTCAACAAATGCTTCTTTGTTTTATTGTCATAGGCAAGCCATAAAAAGCAAAAACTATGGTATGCATTTTAGCATACTTCTTGAGCACTTAGAGCAATGATTAGGTATGAAGTTTTATTCATGCCCCCTCTTCCATCTTCTCTAACTCCTCCTCAATGCTGCAGTCCTCAAGACTGGCTCTTTTACAATTATTTGGTATTTTATTTGGTGATTACATTTTCCCCCCAATAAGTCACTAGCCATTAGAAATAACTCAGGGAGTAATTTTTTTTCCTAAAAAAATACAAATATTTTGTGCCTTTCAGACCTCTTTAATGTGAATGTTAGAGAATTATTATAGTTGAATAAACAATTACAATCAATTTGTTGTAATTGAAAAAAATCAATGTGTTGTAGATGAACAAATTAATTATAATCAAACAATTAACACCATTATGTTTTCTTCAAGTTTCAACTTCATTTTCAGCTTGGATTATTAAAGTTGATATCATCATACAGTCATACAAAAGTCAGCTTACAAAGGAGTGTTTGAAAACGACAACACATTTTTGCCAAAATTCTAGAATTATAATCGATATTTTTCAAAGAGAAAAAGAAACAAAGAGTAAGTTGCTGATTTAAATTACAGAAGATACAACAGTTCTTGACTGGTTTATAAATGAGCAAGGAAAAAACCTCCACCAAGAATACTCTACCCAGCAAAGATATCATTCAGAATTGAAGGAAAGAAAAAGTTTTCCAGACAAGCAAAAGTTAAAGGAGTTCATCACCACTAAACTGGCCTTACAGAAATACTAAAGGGACTTCTTTAAGCTGAAAAGCAAGAGCACTAATTAGTAACAAGAAAACATATAAAAGTATAAATCTCACAGGTAATGGTAAATATATAGTAAAGGTAGTGGGTTAATCACTTGTAAAGCTAGTATGAAGGTTAAAAGACAAAAGCAGTAAAAATAATTCTAACTAAAAGAATTAGTTAAGGGATACACAAGATAAAAAGATATAAAATGTAACATCAAAAACATAAAACATTGGGGGGAAAGTAAAAACGTAGAGCTTTAGAATGCATATAAACTTAACTTGTTATCAACTTAAAATAGACTATTATAAACAAAAGTGCTTATTGTAAGTCTCATGGTAACCACCAAGCAAAATCCTATAGCAGATAAACAAAAGATAATGAGAAAGGAATCGAAGCATACCACTAAGGAAAGTAATCAAACCACAAAGGAAGAGAGCAAGAGAAAGAAGAAGGAACAGAGAAACTACAAAACAGCCAGAAAACAATTAACAAAATGGCAATAAGTACATACCTATCAACAATTACTTTAAAGGTAAACGGACTAAATTCTTCAGTCAAAAGACATGGAGTGGCTGAATGGATTAAACAAAAAAAGATTCACCTATATCCCGCCTACAAAAGATTCACTTCAGACGTATGGACACATACAAGGACTGAAAGTGAATGAATGGAAAAAGATATTTCAAGCAAACAGAAACCAAAAGAAAGCTGGGGTAGCTATACTTATATCAGACAAAATCAACTTTAAAACAAAGACTGCAATATGAGACAAAGAAGGGCATTACACAATGATAAAGGGATCAATTCAACAAGAGGATATAACATCTGTAAATATTTACGCACCCAACAAAGGAGCATCTAAATATATAAAGCAAATATTAACAGACCTAAAGGGAGAAATAGACAGTGATACAATGTAAGTAGGGGACTTTAACAGCCCACTTACATCAATGAATAGATCACCCAGACAGAAAATCAATAAGGAAACATCAGCCTTAAATGACATGTTATACTAGATGGACTTAAGATACGTACAGAACATTCCACCCAAAAGAAACAAAATACACATTCTTCTCAAGTGCACATGAAACATTCTCCAGGATAGATCATATATTAGGCCACAAAACAAGTCTTTACAAATTTAAGAAGATTGAACTCATACCAAGCATCTTTTCTGACCACAATGGTATGAAACTAGAAATCAATTACAATAAGTAAACTGGAAAAATCACAAATATATACAGACTAAACAACATGCTACTGAACAACCAATGGACCAATGAAAAATCAAAAGAGAAATAAAAAAATACCTTGAAACAAATGAAAATGGAAATACAACATACCAAAACTTATGGGATGCAGCAAAAGCAGTTCTAAGAGGGAGGTTCACAGCAATTAATGCATATCTCAAGAAACAAGAAAAATCTCAAATAAACAACCTAACTTTACATCTCAAGGAAGTAGAAAAGGAACAAATGAGGCCCAAAGTTAGTAGAAGGAAACAAATAAAAATCAGAGCAGAAATAAATGAAATAGAGACTAAAAAGACAATAGAAAAGATCAATGAAACCAAGAACTGGTTCTTTGAAGAGATAAACAAAATTGAAAAACCTTGAGCTAACTCACCAAGTAAAAAAGAGAGAACTCAGATACAATCAGAAATGAAAGAGCAGACATTACAACTGATCACAGAAATACAAAGGATCATAAGAGACTACTGTGAACAATTATATGCCAACAAATCGGACAAACTACAAGAAATGGATAAATTCCTAGAAACGTACAACCTTCCAAAATTGAACCATAAAGAAAAAGAAAATCTAAATAGGCTAATTACTAGTAAGGAGATTGAATCAGTAATTAAAAACCTCCCAGCACACAAAAGTCCAGGACCAGATGGCTTCACTGGTGAATTCTACAAAACATTCAAAGAATTAATGCCAATCCTTCTCAAACTTCCAAAAAACAGAAGAGGAGGGAACACTTCCAAGCTTATTTTATGAGGCCAGCATTACCCTGATACCAAAACCAGACAAGGATGCCAAAAGATAAGAAAATTACAGGCCAAATCCCTGATGAACATCAATGCAAAAGTCTTCAACAAAATATTAGCAAACTGAATTCAACAATACATTAAAAGGATCATACATCACAATCAAGTAGGATTTATCGTAGAGATGCAAGGATGGTTCGACATCCGCAAGTCAATCAATGTGAATACACACTAAGAAAATGATGGATAAAATAAATATGATCATCTCAATAGATGCAGAAAAAGCATTTGACAAAATTTAGCATCCATTTATGATAAAAGTCTCAACAAAGTGGGTACAGGGGGACTGTACCTCAATGTAATAAAGGTCATATAAGACAAACTCATAGCTATCATCATACTCAATGGGGAAAAGCTGAAAGATTTCCCCTTAAGATCAGAAACAAGACAACGATGCCCACTCTTGTCATTGTTATTCAACATAGTATTGGAAGTCCTAGCCACAGCAATTAGGCAAGAAAAAAATTAAACGCATCCAAACTGGAAAGAAAAAAGTAAAACTTCCACTATTTGCAGATGACATGATACTATATATAGAAAACCCTAAAGACTCCACCAAAAAGAGTTATAACTAATAAATGAATTCAGTAAAGTTGTAGGATACAAAATTAATATATAGAAATTTGCATTTCTATACACTAATATTGAACTATCAGAAAGAGAAATTAAGAAAACAATTCCAGGGCCGGCCTGGTGGCTTAGTGGTTAAGTGCTCGCGCTCTGCTGCTGGCGGCCCGGGTTCGGATCCCGGGCACACACTGACGTACTGCTTCTCCGGCCATGCTGAGGCCGCGTCCCACATACAGCAACTAGAAGGATGTGCAACTATGACATACAACTATCTACTGGGGCTTTGGGGGAAAAAATAAATAAATAAATAAAATTAGAAAAAAAAAAGAAAACAATTCCATTTACAATTGCATCACAAAGAATAAAATACCTAGGAATAAATTTAACCAAGGAGGTGAAAGACCTGTACACGGAAAACTATAAGATACTGATGAAAGAAATTGAAGATGACACAAATAAATGGAAAGATATAGTATGATCGTGGATTGAAAGAATTAATATTGTTAAAATGTCCATATCACCCAAATCCATCTACAGATTCAATGCAATCCCTAAAGAAATTCCAATGGCATTTTTCACAGAAATAGAACAAACAATCCTCAAATTTACATGGAACCACAAAGACCCTGAATAGCCAAAGCAATCTTGAGAAAGAACAAAGCTAGAGGCATCACACTTCCTCATATCAAACTATATTACAAAGCTATAGTAATCAGAATAGTATGGTATTGGCATAAAAAGAGACACATAGATCAATGGAACAGAATAGAGAGCCCAGAAATAAACCCACACATATATCATCAATTAACTTACGACAAAGGAACCAAGAATATACAATGGGGAAAGGATAGTCTCTTCAATAAACTGTGCTGGGAAAACTAGACAGCCACATGCAGAAGAATGACACTGGACACTATCTTACACCATACACAAAAATCAACTCAAAATGGATTAAAGACTTGAATGTAAGGGGTTGGCCCTGTGGTGTAGTGGTTATGTTCAGCGAACCCCACTTTGGCGGCCTGGGCTCACAGGTTCAGATCCTGGGTGGAGACTTACACCACTCATCAGCCACGCTGTGGTGGCAACCCATATACAAAATAGAGGAAGATCGGCACAGCTATTAGCTCGGGGCTAATCTTTCTCAAGCCCAAAAAGAGGTAGATAGCTTGGCAGCAGATGTTAGCTCAGGGCAAATCTTCCTCAGCAAAAAACAAAAACAAAAACAAAAACAAAGACTTGAATGTAAGACCTGAAACCATAAAACTCCTGGAAGAAAACATAAGCAGTAAGCTCCTTGACACAGGTCTTGGCAATGAGCTTTTGAATCTGACATCAAAAGCAAAAGCAACAAAAGCAAAAATAAACAAGTGAGACAACATCAAACTAAAAATCTTCTGCACAGCAAAGGAAACCATCAACAAAATAAAAAGGCAATCTATGGAATGGGAGAAAATATTTGCAAATCATTAATCTGATAAGAGGTTAATATCCAAAATATGTAAAGAAGTCATGCAACTCAACAGCAAAAAACCAAACAATCCAATTGAAAAATGGGCACAGGATCTGAATAGCCATTTTCCCAAAGATATACAGATGGCCAATAGGTACATGAAAAGATGCTCAACATCACTAATCATCAGGGAAATGCAAATCCAAAACCACAATGAGATCACCTCACACCTGTTAGAACAGCTATTACCAAAAAGACAAGAAATAACAAGTGCTAGTGAGGATGTGGAGAAAAGGGAACCCTTGTGCACTGTTGGTGGGAATGTAAATTGGTGCAGCCACTATGGAAAACAGTATGGAGGTTCTTCAAAAATTTAAAGATAGAACTACCATATGAGCCAGCAATTCTACTTCTCGGTATTTACCTGAAGAAAAGGAAAACACTAACTTGAAAAGATATATCTACCCCATGTACATTGCAGCATTATTTACAATTGCCAAGACATGGAAGCAACCTAAATGTCCACTGACAGATGAATTGATAAAGAAAATGTGGTGTATATATACACAATGGAATAGTATTCAGCCATAACAGAGAATGAAAAAAAAAGGGGGGGTGGCCGGTCCCATGGCTTAGTGGTTGAGTACGCGAGCTCCGCTGCTGATGGCCCGGGTTCAGATCCCGGGCGCGCGCCATGCACCGCTTGTCCGGCCATGCTGAGGCAGCATCCCACATACAGCAACTAAGAAGGATGTGCAACTATGACATACAACTATCTACTCGGGGGGGCTTTGGGGAGAAAAAAGGAAAAGAAAAAAAAAAAGAATGAAATCTTGCCATTTGTGACAACATGGATGGACCTTGAGGGCATTATATTAAGTGAAATAAGTCAGAGAGAGAAAGACAAATCCCTGGTTTTTTTTTTGTGAGGAGATCAGCCCTGTGCTAACATCTGCCAATTCTCCTCTTTTTTTGCTGAGGAAGACAGGCCCTGGGCTAACACCCGTGCCCATCTTCCTCTACTTTATATGGGACGCCGCCACAGCATGGCTTGACAAGTGGTGTGTTGGTGCATGCCCAGGATCCAAACTGGCGAGCCCTGGGCCGCCGCAGCAGAGCGCGCGCACTTAACCGCGTGTGCCACCGGCCCGGCCCCAAAAGACAAATTCTATATGATCTTACTTATATGTAGAAACTAAAACAAACCCAAAAACCAAGCTCATAAATACAGAAGAGATTGGTGGTTGCCAGAGGCGGAGGGTGGTGGATAGGTGAAATGGATGAAGGGATCAGAAGGTACAAACTTCCAGTTATAAAATAAGTAAGTCATAGGGATGTAACGGACAGCATGGTGACTATAGTTAATAATAGTTAATAATATTGTATATATATTTGACATGAAATTACCCCAGATTTAAGGCAAGTTAAACATATTTTAACTGGGAAAACAGATATTTAGACTCTGAGACAGCCGTGTGCATGTAGAAGGAAAAAAAAAAAGATGTATAATGATGTAAGCACTATCTTATTTCATACTAATTTTAATTTTACTTGGATTTGGGTGAGGAATAAGCAACTTGTACAGAGTGTAACTCTGAGGAGAGAGGGAGGCAGATGGGTAAGGAAGGGCTGTCAGAGCTCATTTGAAAAAAAAAAAGAGAGAAGAAAAAAGAAGAGACGAAAAAGATGAGCATTTGCTTGGTAGAAAAAGCACACTGCAACAAAGCAAAATGAATTTGCAGATATCTCACCAAGACTAGGAGGAAGGAGAGAAGAGACTGAGGTTTCTGCAAGTAAGGCATGATAGAAGGAAATTAGCTGCATAGCATGATTTATTTTTATTAATTTAAGATTATGAAATACCATGGGTTCTCTTTAGTATGCTTTTTTATTTGTATTGGTAAATGGAAAATAACATTTTTTTAAAAGTTTGTTCACAACTTTCATTCGCCATCTATATTTTCTATTAAAGATCCTAAGTTTCTCTGCTGGGAATTCTGCTACCCTAGCACTTCGCAAGAAGCTGAATTTTCGAGTTGAAGGTACATTACAATTCCTTCCATTATACCAAGTTGTTTGGTATTATAACAATTCTTATTCAATGAACTTTTCTCTACATCTTCTCAGCAATATCCAATCATTAAATGTTCACCTATTTTAGTGTTTCTACACAGAAAGCACTTTTCTACAGTTTTCATTGTATCAGCCAACATTTTGATTTTACATCCTGATAAATTGTAATCTTAAATTTGGAAATGCATTGCTTTCTTCTATTCCTTTAACAAGTAAAAACCAAGATTGACCCATAGTATCTGTCTACTATAGATGATTAAAATACAACAAAATACAGATAGTTCAGATGCCTTGGGTAGACAGATGCGTTCCACATTTTCATAGATAACATTTGGTCTGCATCTTACACCTCAATAACCTTGCATGAAGGGAAAGTCATACTCTGTCCTATGTTTCATCAGTAGAAGGGGGGCTGCACTTCCAATCTAGATCATCAGCCCCTGAGAGCCGTGTCTCACTCTTCTTTGATTACCCAAGCCTCAGCAAGGAGCCAGTGCACAGTCAGTGCTTCCAACATTGCGAGGAATGCTTGTTGGCTGACAGGTGAGTGCTGTCATGCACGCTCAGGCGTGCATGCAGGTGGGTCCCAGAATTCCCTGTATGTGGGTATGTAAGCCCTAGAAAGTCTTCTGTCTTTTTGACTGAATAAAACCTATTCCCAAGAGTATAATTAAAAAAAAAAATCAAGCTCATGCCTCATCATGGGTGAAATACTCTTCATTCACTTAGAATTACCCAATGAAGCCATAAAAACAACGAGGCTATAAAGCATATGCTCCTAATCCCAAATCCCATTTCTCTCCACGAGATACACAGGATAATGACTGAGTCTATGGCTGGTGCCTCCTGGGGCCCACATCCCCATAAAGCTGGACTCTACATTATTAAACATAACATCTGGCTTTTGACCTCGATTGCTAATGTAGAAATCAATTTCTTTCTTACCTGCAATTAGAAGAGAGTTATTGTCATAAAATGCAAAACTGAAAGTTAAAAAAAAGGTAATCTAACCTCACACACGCAGATATAATATGAACCATTTCGGTCTTTTAGTTATTAAGCTGGTTTCTTCACAAAGCTACAGCAGACAATCTGCTTTCGCCACGGCCCCTTATTCATGGAAGAAAGAGGAAGGAATCTTTCAGGCACAGGTTAACTGTTACCAAAAGTTTACAGACTGCATTAATTGCATTGAATGAAGAATTAGAGAAAAGCTTGTTTCTCTTGCTTTCTGAAAAACCACTCTGGAAAAAGACTTTGTTTCTTCTGAGTGACATATGTCAAAGAGTTTGATATACATTCTTTAACTACCAATCCTTCCTGAAAGCAACAAGAATATCACAGATACATTCCAAGAGGTAAAATCCAGCATCTCATTAGAGTCATGATCACTAATTTTTGTATCCATTTCTGGATTTTACTCAAAAAACATTTAACAAATAATTTTTCATATTCAAACCAAATAATTTTCCTAAAATATTTCCTTTCAGATTCCATTTATTTCCATACCCTAAACATAAGGTAGCACAAGCATAAATCAGCCACCCTGAAACAGGCAGTGTGTGCGTAAGCAAATGAAAGGTGAGTACCCTTATAGGATTACCATAAGTGAGGATGTACAGGGGCTTCCCATTCGTGTCCATGGTGGTCAAGCACGGGGCCTTTGGTGAGATGGTCCCCCATCGCTGTAATGCGGCTTCTAAAGACGGGGGCCAGTTCGTAACCACACCCAGCTGCTCCCCTCGCATTGCCAACATCTGGGCTCCCTCTGGCTTTGGCTGGTTAGGATCTGGTTGTTGAACTAAGTACATTTGAATACAAAAGTTTTCAAGAAAAATACATCCATGTTAGTGCGATCAGTTTTTTCTTTTCATAGAAGCCAGGGGTCTTATACTTAAGGTATAAACTTAGTAGGAGACAGAAAACATGCACACATGCTTTTCTAGAATCAGGGCCATGGCCTACATACTAGCCTCATGGGTGGAATGGAAGCGCTGAATTCTTATAATTTCCAAGGCAGTGTAGGGATGGGTAACTTAGGGGGACCTGAGTGCATTTATAAACTGACAAGTAAAACTACATATTTTAACACACCCAGAGTCTAGGATTGCAACAGCTACATTTAAAATATCAGTTACTGACATACACTAGTAATTCTGGATTCCAAAGAGCTCCAATCTTGCTAAATTATATTTTGCTCTTAAATATTGAGATGTAAATTTAAATTTGATACAACTTACTACGAATAACTAGCAGAGAGCATATTTTCTTGAGTAAAACAAAAATAAATGCCTCATAATCAAATACAATTTGCCCAACTCTAGTTTAGATAGATGAGAAACTGAGATCATTTTTCTCACTTCTGGAAAAGTTTTCTCTCTCATAGTTTATGATTGACAATTTCTACCTGCTGGCCAGAAAATCAGCTATGTCTTACTTGTGGTATTAAGAATAAGAAAATAAAGAGTTTGGGCTACTACAATCAGCAGTTGTTGGTTTTGACTTGAAGTGGTTTGTGTTAAAAGGCTCACGAGCATTCAGCAGCTAAGACACGGGCTCTTGAATTTGTAGAGTGGAGGAAACTGAGACATGCTCCACATGCCCTCCGCATTCCTCTTAACAAGCTTATTCAGAGAGAAATGCCTTGCTGTGAGCTAAGGTTTTCTATGATTTACTTTCATTTCTGTAACCTGATAAAATCCCTATAAAGAGCCTGGCTCATGGGACAAAATCCAAAATCATATTCTGCTGAGGATGATAAACAATCAGTTTGGAAATCTATCCAACAGTGTGGTGCTCTGCATACCTTTAAGGGACCTTCGGGAGCAGTACCTATAGTCTCCACATAAGACTCCTGTCTTCCACTGAATGCTGCGATTACTGCTCTTAAAAAGTAAAATAGCTTTGGTAGAAAAAATATCATTGTAGTTTATGGGACCACAGGGACACTGAAATAAACGAGGGTGAAAGGGTTCTTTTACCTTCTAACAATTCTTCAAAGTCATCAACAAAGAACTCCCTTAACGGCGGTCGCTTAGGTCGTTTGAGGGTGTTGACGAGCTGTTGAATTTTTGCTGATACCCGGCTACTTACAGGCACTCCTGAAAAACAGAAGCATAGGGCAGACGAACTGATTTCAGGACATCACCGCTGGAACAAGCAGCCACAGAACCACGGTGTGACACCTGCGCTCACGCCCCATTGCAAGGGCTGGGAGAAGCAGGCCGATGCCTTTGAGACAGAGTCTCTCTCAAACTGCCACCTGGGACGAGGTGCACAGTGAAGACATTCCACTGGAAGGACTGTCGCAGTGCAGGGACCTGCTGGTAACCAGGGGAGGGTAAAGAGGTGGCAGAAACGATTCTCTCTCAAAATGTCGTGAGCTGTCCTGGTCTGGTGATGTTGGGAAGACTCGGCACCACAGACAGGGCTCGGTCCCACCTCTAATTCCTGAAATATTCCCACTGTCTCAGGTCCTCCTCTCTCAACAGGGGTCAGAGAGCTGACAAAGCAGTGAGACCCTCCCCGAGTCCCAGTCTCCCCGAGACCACGGGCGCTTGGCCTCGCAGGGGCCAGGAGAACATTCTGCTGGAGAAGTCGAATTCAGGTGCTCCGCAGCATCTGGACTTCCATACGAAAGCAAGCAGGACTCAGGCTCCACAAGCTCCGAGGCAGGCCCTGTCCTTCCACAGGTAACCACTAGGTCCCTCCTACCTGTCTTTCAGTTCTACTCACCTGATTCAGGCAATGCATTCTAGAAGCACAGCAAATTAAAGTCTCTAAATTCAAATTTCTATATAACACAGAGCACTAGAATATATTTATTCATGTGTATGAGAAAAATAAATCCTATTTAATACTAACATATTTCTTACTTAAAACAATGAATGCAACAGCATTTTGAAAACTGAATAAGTGAACTGATCATTGAAAAAGGCAAGAAGTTTTAAAATTTCAAAATAAATAGCCCAAATTAACGACCAAAAGGAGTGCTAAGACACTGACATCCTTAACTGGATCAAATGTATCCTCTGCAGGCAAATTTCATTTCCGTTGAAAGGTGCTCAGAAACCTGCACCTGGTAACTATGGGTCTGGGAAACTCTACAGCTCTGACAGTCTGAAGAATCACGGCCTGGAGGGGTCTTTCCCGTAACGGCTGAGGCAGAGCCTGCCTTCTCCATTGCAGGGTATCACAAAAGAGACCTCAGCTTTTGGAACGAGAGTGACAGAATTCAAGGACATTTTTCTATCAAATAAAAAACCTTTTAATAGGTAGTCTCAAAAGAATCTATGAGCACTTTCAGAATTGAGACATTAAATATTTTAAAGTTTTGAAAACACGTAAAAATATACAACCCAGAATTCTCAATATCTAAACAAAGTATTTCCCCATTAAATAGTTCCACTTAACTTAGTTGGGATGGAGATCATTTCACAAGGCTACTGGTTCTCCAGCTTAGTTTAGAACACAGAAGAATCATCCGAGGACCCAGCCCAGAGCTTCTGATGTGTCAGTGTGGGGTGCAGCTCAGGTGGTTTTGATACGAGAGATCATCACGCACTGGGAAACACTGAACTGGACAACACGTGACTCATATGGAGTCATATGGACAACATATGAATTTACCTGGGCGGCAGACAAAGATGACGGACTTCAAAGACAATAAAGTTATTAAAATGGTGATGATGAGGATAACAGTAATGACCAATTTAATAAATGATGAATTTAACAGAGAACTAATGCAAACATTGAAGCTGAAAGCGTCCCAGGAAAACCAATCATATTGGAAACCGGAGTGACTTCAAATGTACCAATGGAGAGCTCATGAGTCCCAGTGACTTTGGGCTCTGACCAAAATGAAGTGCGTGCTGCCTGTCAGAGACTGGGTCCAGGCTTCCCTCGTCAGTGGGATGGATGGCACACCAAGGCTATTTCAGCCATCTTCCACGAAAATAACATTTTATGTCGTCATCGGGTTCTATTCTAACTTTCATGACCCTAGGAAGGACTGAGACTAAAGGACAGCAGAATAAAGCATGAAGTTCAGGTTCAAGTCTGCTACTTCAGATTGGGAAGTAGAAATGGCCACTCTAATCAGAACATACCAGGACTGAAGACATGAGGAATAAAAGATAACACCCTACTGCTGTATTTCCTCAAATGACAAATATTTTTTCCCTTATGGAGAAAAAAAGACCCTCTTTCTTCCAAAGTCTAAAGCAACACACTAGCCCACATCTGTCAATTATTTTGTTTTACATTGAACTTCATCTTGCCCTTCTAAGTAATCATTCATGGTCTAAACACTTGCACACTAATTTCTTAACTGCTTAACCAACATTCATTATTCATTAGCAAAAACATCACCGTCTTATAAAATTTTTCTTCCCATGACTAAATTCCTACAATGTGACATTTTTTTCCTACAAGGAATAACTCTTGGCCAACTTGAAGATAATCTGCAATTCTTGTGACTATACCACCTTCTATGAGGGACTCATGAAGAACGTGATAAATTAGATTCAATGAGTCGACTGTGTATCTAGAAGAAACACACCCCATCATGGGCATAAGAAAGGCAAGTTAGTAGAAATGAAAATTTACAAAGGAGGAAAGAAGTTGCTGAAGACATACCATCGCCAGTCTCCATGAGCTCAGCATTGCCATACTTGGGTGCCGTCCGCGATGTCGTTGAACCTTGTGGCCTTTCTACTTGTATTGAGTGTTCTGAGGTGTAAGTGGTTACATCAGGAGGTGCAGAGTGATTTTCTGTAAGGAAGTCAATCACAAGTTTCTTGATTATCATGATAGAGTTATTCTGAAGGCTAAGTAATCAATGGGGTTTAAAAAAACGCACAACCTAAGAAACGACCATGACCCTGAATCCAAGTCTACTACAGAAATCTCAGCATAAACGTGGTCTTTAAGATACTTTATACCGCTCAAAGTGGAACAAAGCTAGGTAAAACTTCAGATGTAATATCATAACAGGTGTCACATCAATGAAGCACTGTAGCATTTTAACTGAAATAATGTTTTCAAGCAGCCAACGGAAAAAGAGATATTGTAAGTTATGTGTTTGTTCATAAAAGAGTAATTTTCTTGTCTGTCACAGGAGAAGCAGTGGAGAGCTTAAGCTTTGGAGGCAGAGTGCCTGGGGTTTGAATCCCAGCTCTGCAAATTCCTTGAGATCTTGGGAAGTGTCTTTACCTCTCTGTGCCTCAGTCTCCTGATCCATCAAATGGGAACAATAATGGCTACCTCCTTGCAGGTAGGTTAAATAAATTAACACATATAAAGGTCTTAGGACATTTCTTTTCTGTGTGTGTGAGGAAGATTAGCCCTGAGCTAGCATCTGTCGCCAATCCTCCTCTTTTTGCTGAGGAAGATTGGCCCTGGGCTAACATCCGTGCCCATCTTCATCCATTTTATATGGGATGCCACCATAGCATGGCTTGACAAGCGGTGCATCGGTGCGCGCCTGGGATCCGAACCCGGGCTGCTGCAGCAGAGCGCGCGCACTTAGCCGCTATGCCACCGGGCCGGCCCCAGGACATTTCTTGATAGAGGGTGAGCATTCAAGAAATATTAGCTAGTTTATTATTTGTTTTAGCATGAATAATACTCAGTCATTCAAAAAACATCTATCTATTTACAATCTAATGTGCGTGGGGTGCTGTGTTACGCACGGTGAGATGTGCAGCAGTTCTTCCCTGCAGCATTCATTAATGATAAAGGGAAGCACTTAAATGGTTAAATGAGGAAAGCACAATTTTTGTATTTATTAAATAAGGCATTAAGGAGAGCATGTCAAACGAGACTATCAATGACATTTTATATATCCTAGGTTCTAATAATGGCCTTATACTATTAATTTTCACTCATTAATCCTCATTAGATAGAAACTTGTCAAGATCCTATAGTTCCGTGTGACACAAGCACACTACTCTGTGCTGCTGGAAGGGGAGCAGGTTCCAGAAGGCCTTTCTCTTCCAGACGCTGCCCACTTCAGCACTACACGTGAGGGCTATTTTAAACACTGAAATCACCAACAAAAAGCACAAGCATGAGGAGAAACAGGCGCCGAACAGATCATGTAAAGGACACTGTTTACAGTCGGAGCTGGAGCACAAAGGCTCAGCATCGCTCTGTTCCACCTCAGCTGGGAACGTGACGATATCCTCGAACGACTGCGAGAAGGCCATGAGGACTGATTTGGGGTTATACATTATTTTAACAAGTAGGTGGATCCGCAAGCATGGAATTGGCCAACAGTGAGGCTCAACTGTACACAGAGGTGTGTGTGTGTGTGTGTGTGTGTGTGTGTGTATAGTGTGTATAAAGAAGAGCTTACGTAGATTAAGGACGCTACATGAAGTGAGACTTGCGGCTGAGGAAGATTTACCTGTATTCTCAGGCCAGTTTCAAGCGTAGCAACCCAGAGTGATCCCTCACCCCAATGTGCCCAGACTATCCAGAGAATAGGATAGAACTCGTCCAGGCACACTGACCCGGCACATGTGTGGAAATGCGTGTGGGGGCTGAGGCCTGGGGCCACCAGCAGTCCCTGATTTGGTCCCCAGGTCCACTGCTCATAGCTAATCACCTTTCTATACTTCAGTTTCCTTCTCTGTAAACTGGAGGTGATAATGACAATACTGACCTTGTAAGGTTACAGAGGGAATGAAGTAAACACACACAAGCACTGAAGCACTGTTGTTGTTTGGTGCACAGACATCTGCTGAAGGGAAGTTCTAGATGCCAGTGTGCCATGAGATGAACACAGGTACGAGTGGCAGCCCCAACAAGCCACTATTTGTCCAGGGTCTGAACCTGGGAATCTTTGTAAAGCATGACAAGTGGCACCAGAGCCCTAAACATAGGCCATCAGCAGAAAGCTGAGTGCCCCACTTCTCATCTCCCTTTCCAAGAGTACTCACCCTGTTGTGGGCTGAACTTTGTCCCCTCAAAACTCACATGTTGGAGTCCTAACCTCCAGGACCTCAGAATGTGACTGTGTTTGGAGAAGGGCCTTTACAGAGGTGATAAAGGTAAACTGGGGTCACTGGGGTGGGCCTAATCCAATAGGACTGGTTTCTTATAAGAGGAGGACATTAGGACACAGGCAGACACAGAGGGACGGTCATGTGAGGACACGGGGAGAAGATGGCCATCTACACGCTGAGGAGAGAGGCCTCAGGAAAAACCAGCCCTGCTCATACCTGGCTCTCGGATTCTAGCCCCCAAGACTGAGGGACAACAAATGCCTGCTGTTTAAGCCCCCAGCCTGTGGTACTTTGTATTGGCAGCCCAGCAAACTACAACATACCCTTAAGAGCAGTTTCTTAGAACTTAGCCCAGAGAAGAACGGCCTGTGACAGGGGGAGAGCGAGGTCAGGATGCTGTATCAGGTCATGGAGGGAAGTACAAGAGGGATGGAGAGGACCGTTCCAACAGCCTCTTTAATTTTTCAGACACCGTGTTCATCCTTTTCACCACCTCTAACTGTGCTTTGACCAAATAGACCATTTCATGTTTCAAAATGATCTAATTCTCCACGGCTAAGTAGTACTCACTGGGGCCTCCTATTTCCAATGAAAATACAATAGATGCTAATGTATGACGAGCAAGTTTTCAAATTAGCCACCTAAAACAAAAGCAGCTAAAGTGTGAGTTCACTGCATTCTGATTCTATTCAGATTTACTTGTGTTTAAGTTACGCTGTAGCCACACCACTGCTGATTGCCAATCAGTCTTTGTGTTGGGCAGTGGGAATACTGCAGTGTTTCCACTTTGAAGTTGGGAAAATAATAATTCTGATACATCTGGTGGTTAAAAAATAGGAACAGTGACAGCTGGGTGACTTCAAAGTGCTTTCCAAATTTATTTACATGTCACCTCCCCTCCCACTCCCTTTCAAACTCCTTGAATATGCTGTCACTGTAGGATCACAAACCCAGCAGCTGGCTTCAGTTAGGAAGCCAGAGAACGTTCTGCCACTATAGTGATGCACTGGGCCCTACTGTATTTTGATAAAGATCAGGACTCTCAGTATTTCACTAGATTACCTATCTTTTGAGGAGTATTTAAAAGCACCTTGTATGTAACAGATGCTCAAGACAGACTTGTCGATGAGTAAGAAGTGGAGCCCAGCTGAAGGTGCAGGTTCAAAGGTCTGAAATGCTCGTCAGCTCCAGGTACAAGGCCAATGAAGTCCTCGAGCATGAGGAGCATTCTGAAGATTAAGAACTCTTGTCAGAGTGGGTCTGTATCTCTTGAGCAAGATGGCTCACCGTCCCTTAGATCAATTTCCCAGCACTTTTATTTTTTTTATTATTTTTTTTTAAAGATTTTATTGATTTTATTTTTTTTCCCCCCAAAGCCCCAGTAGATAGTTGTATGTCATAGCTGCACATCCTTCTAGTTGCTGTATGTGGGACTCGGCCTCAGGATGGACGGAGAAGTGGTGCCTCGATGCGCACCCGGGATCCGAACCCGGGCCACCAGCATCGCAGCGCGTGCACTTAACCACCAAGCCACAGGGCCGGCCTCCCAGCACTTTTAAAACCAAAGGAAAAATGGTGGCCATACTTCCAGGCACCTGTCAAGTGTCACCTCCACTGTGAGCCTGGGGACCTTCACATCTGCTCCCCCTGGGGGGGGTTCTGTCTCATCTGCCCCTGCATTGCTTTCACTCTCCACAGCCGACATGGGTTCCTTAAAAATCTGCAATTCGAGACAGGTGCAAGGGGAAAGGAGGAGGAAGTATAACTCAGCCATCACTCGTGACGCACCTGCAACCTCTTTTGGCTCCATCAGCACCAGGGCTCCCATCTCACTCCATGAACCTCCCCCCTCCCACTCTGGGGTTCAGTCTGTTACTGTGGCCAACAGTCCACCCCATCTGGACAGCTGTTTCCAGAATGACCACTTCAGGGTACCGGCTGGTCTCCCTGCTGAGCTCTGCCTTGGAAGTTCCCTGCTTCCTTGACCTAACTCCTTCCTACTCACCTGCTCTTGCAGGCATATGGCTCAGTCTGGCTTCCTGCGTCCTACTCAGATGCTGAAACTACATGGCACCCAGCCCACATTGTCTGTACTCAGCAAATGTTGGAGCAATAGTTCAAAAAATGAATGAACACAAGAACGAATAAATTAAAGAACATGACAACTGCAGACAAAATGCCTCTGGTTCTAACACTGGCTAAAAAGAAGCATTCTTTAATTCTGTCTAAGTGGGAATCCCCAGGGACCAATGGTGATAAATCCCACTTTTAAGCCGTGTTAATTATTTTTCAGTCCCCAAATAACTTCTAAATGAAGAGAAGAAAAATAGGAAATCTGGTTTTCATGTGTATAGAGCAACGTGCTCGTGGTCCACTAACTGATGATGGGTAAGGAGTAATGCATTCAAAGTTGAATAGTTGCAACAGAGACTTTATGGTCCACAAAGCCTAAAATATTTACTTTCTGGCCCTTTACAGGAAAAACTTGCCGACCCTGTTATAGAACTATGAAGCTCTAGCTGCAAGGACGCCCAAGCAGGGGAGTTGGGGTGTAGCAGGGAGACCCCAGCCCCAAGCATGTGGGCTTTGCCAATATCACCATCCTCCCTATGTATTTGATATTTTAAGACTGTTTGTAAATGTTTGAGATTATAAAAGAATTCTGATACTTTGGATGATTATACATAAATAAATTAGGGTAATTTATGTCAGTGGTGGCTATTCAAGCCTTGGAATAAATTCCTTAGTCAGCCGGAATCTAGACTCAAAAAAAACGCAATATCTAGACTCAGGCTAATTATGCAACGAGTACGTGGGGTGCTTTTGACTTCTATCTTAGCAGGATTAGATGCAAGAAATCTGATGAGAACCTGCTTGCTGATACAAGTAGCACACATTGAAACCAGCATTCACGTCAATGAATTCTAAAATGTTCTGGAAACGGCAATTACTTCTATGAATATCTGCTAATGACAATGCACCCCCAGCACATGCTGACGGAGCCTGTATGTGACAATGTCTGAGATGTGTCAGTTAACAAAGGGTGACAGAGACCTTACCAATCTATCTGTAGCTACAAAATGACAGAATAGTCATGCAGAAGTTTCTTTAATTTTCTGAATATACGAAATTTGATTCTGAATTATGACAATGTTATCTATTCTGCTTTGTTCTTATCTTAGTCTAGAAATGCATTAATAAATATTTTTCTTCGACTTCTCCATTTCTATGTAGATAACTAATTCCTATACTATTTTACTCAGAGGCTTTTTGCAAATATGCCTCTTGAAGTTAAAAACGTTCCATTAATTCTTCTGGTTACTCTAAGATACGCTCCTCAACTTCTGATAGAATATTTTAGAGGTATTAATCCTTTCTTTTCCAATTGTCTTAAGAATGTTACATTCACAGACGTTCTAAATAATGTAAATACTTTCTGATAATGATCCAGAAACCTTCTGGTTCTTGCAATAGAGGGAGGGCCTACGAGTGATGATAGCATTCCATCTGAGGTGTGGGGAGCTGTCATAACGGCTGGTCTCATTTCTTCTTCTTCTTCTTTTTTTTTTTTTTGTGAGGAAGATTAGCCCTGAGCTAACATCTGTCGCCGATCCTTCTCTTTTTGCTGAGGAAGACTGGCCCTGGGCTAACATCTGTGCCCATCTTCCTCCACTTTATATGGGATGCTGCCACAGCACGGCTTGACAAGCAGTGCATCGGTGCGCGCCCGGGATCCGAACCCCGGGCTGCCGCAGCAGAGTGCGTGCGCTTAACCACTATGCTACCGGGCCAGCCCCAGGTCTCAAATCTTGCATTACAAATGTGCACATTCTCAGTCCTTACCAGCTCAGGATGGGGAATGTTTTGGAAGCCTCAATGTCAGTGTCTTAAGTGTGAAAGTAACAGCACATCACAAAAGACGCAACAACAAGCAGAGTCGTAGGAAGAAAAAACAACCTGGAAGGGGACTTTGCATTGTAGGCTAAACCAGCTTGACTATGGAGACATATGTGCGGTGTCCCTTTTCATGTCGTCATGATGAAAACCCACAAGGGCTTGGGATTTCACTCCAATGACGACAAAGTAGAAAAACAGCCCACTCTGTGACAGACTCCTCATGGCCTTTGTGGTCTCTCACCGCCTGGCTCTCCTCCAAAAGAAGTGCCTGTAGACTCTACCCAAGTGCCTCCCCACAGGATTAGAGGTGGAGTCGGGGGGTTATTTTACCCTAAATTCCTTTCAGCACACACAATTTTCTTATCTGTAGGCTTTCGATGATCTCAACAAAAGGTCCAAATGCTGCCAATTCTCTGACTTTTTACTTCTTTTCTTTACTACAGGAATAAAGTATTTTAATTCTCCTTTTCTCATCGTTTTATTATTTTGCCACTGCTGTCTTTCAAAAAATTTTTTTTATCTTTACAGAAAATTCCCAGATATTTCAGGAACTTATCTTTGTGCCAAATTAGAAATTACTGAAATGTCACACAAAAGCTATATTTAGGTTACATTGAGACTTGAGGTACATGAGTAATGCAACCTTTTATAGTCTGGATAAATTTAATTTTCCATGTTATAATTTCCTCCAGTATTCCACATGTAAATTCACAAAGGGAGAGCCAAAAGCAGTGATTAATTTGTTCAAAATATGTGTTTCTTTTGGTGAGATTCTGATACTTCCTTAAAAGTGAAGTGAATCAGAATAATACACACATTTCCAAGGTTGGAGTGAACGGCAGAGATGGAGGGAATTCTACGTCTAACCTATCCATGTAGGTGTTGGATAGAACACAATGACAGAACCTCAGCCGCTCTCTCAGGTTCCAAAACACACACAAAGAAATTTTATTATCTATCTAAAAATATTTAACGGTCACACATTTCTGTTTAATTTTTAACTTAACCATGATTTCAAATAAAGGTTCTCAGTACACATATTACTGAAAACATTAAAATGAATTATAATAATACCATATTGCATTTGAGGTTACTTTAAAAATTTTTGAAAAATTTTCCTATTTTCTCCTTTTACTCACAACAGTTCTGAGAGGTACAAAGGAAACAAATTATTATTCCATTTTCTTCCTACTAAAAAACTAAAGCAGGGAGAGGTGACTTCTGAAGATGTCAGCAGCCGTTAACATTAGAACCGTGACTAGACCCAGCTCTCCTGACCAGCTGTCTGCATCCCACCAATGGACAAACAGTCTCATTTCTGACACTGAAAAGGCTGATGCTTTTAACTTCAACTTCATTCTGAGTGAGTGCTGTTGGGGCTAAGTCCTAAGAAGTCGATTTGAAATTCCTTGACTCTGTTAGGTAATTAATAATCTAGAAATAAACACTCTGTGAGTCTGAGATGTTTGCAGAGTATTTAATTCATTCCTTACATTTATCTGTTTTCTACGTTTGGGACTTCTTCAGCTCTGAGGTTTGATGTGGTGAGGAGAATGTGCACCTGTGTCTTGTACTGGGTTTTCCTCGTCTGGGTGTGGCGAACCCTTCTCCACACTGCTGTTTTAATGGAGAGCATATGGAATTACTTTATGAAATTTTTTATTATTGAAATGTTTAAAAATCTTAATCCACAGCTGAAAATGGATCAGAACAGACCTGGATATCACACTTGTCCCTTCCACACCAGACAAGGACTCATTTTCCCGGCATAATGAGTGACAGGTGCAAGTGGAGGCAGAAAAGTACCTTATTCACCCACATTTCGTACAGCCACACGGCTCATCCAATATACTCTCTTTTCCTCTTTTAATTCTTATTTAATCTCCTTTCTTACATCAATTTCAAACATTTCAGCGAATGCTTCCTAACCATGTGCTTTTTCCAATACAGAGGATCTCACTCACTATAGAACCTATATACAAAATAACTTGAACTACCCAAGAAATCTAAACACCTACACCAGAAAAAAGTATAAAGCAGTAGTGATTAAAGCCCTCTTCTTCCTTAAATGATTTCCAAAGTAATGGCAAACTCACCTTAAACTTCCCTGCCTTGTTTATCAGCACTATTAAGATTTCATTTAGGACCATATTTCAGTGTGAGGAGAGGAAACGTGAGCAGGTATGGCTGCAAGTTTCCTTGATGAACAAGAATGCATTCTGTTAGGAGCAGAGAGCTCCTGAGAGTCTAGCTGTGGGAGACACTGGGACGGTGAAAAATAGTAAAACCCAAGCACAGAGTAGCCCAGGAGTTGGGGTGGGGCCAGCGCTGTCCCTCAATGGATTCCATGGCCTCGAGGCACAGGTAGAGGAATTCGTAAACAAGAAGGTCACAGCTACTCAGTGTTGCCTAGTTACCAACAATGAGAACAGCGCAAACACTGACCAGGTACTCACCTATGTGCGTCTGGGCCATGACGTCAGCCAGCCTGTGGGCAGCGCCACTCCCCCCACTCTGGGTGGAAGAGGAGGAGGTGGTGGAGGTGGTAGAGCCATGGATGGCCTGGCTGATCCAGTGCTCCATGTTGATGCTGCCCTGGCTGGAGGTGGGGGTCCCCTGGGAGTCCCCCTGCACTGAGCCTTCATCATCTGAGCCAGAAGAGGTATCTGTGTGAAAGAAAGGCAATTTGCTATGCAACACAGCAAAGAAGCACGTCCCAATCAAACTCGGCCAACAGACCTACCTCACGTACTAACTGTTCAATGACTTTTGCTTCAACACTCTTGAAAGGTTATACCACTTCTCAGATAACGAATTTTTTCTTAGTATAATGAATTTTTCACCCAAAACGCCTTACATAAACATGCTACAAAAGTTTCTTTTGACATTACAATCTCGGAGAAAGACATACCAATTTCCTCCACTCAACAGTTTCGGGAAGAAATCAGACGTTTTCTTTGTACGCAAAGACCAAGTGAGAGGGCCAAGGGCAGCATTTTCTAAGAGATGTTGAACTTGCACGTGTTTCAGGGTGTGACTGCTTGCAGCTCTTGTTTAGTCCCAAGATGTTTCTCTGAGCTATAATTTATTCTTAAATTCAGTGTGAGTGCAAGATACACACCCATGCACCTCCCCAAAGAGGGAGCTATCTGAAGAAAATGTAGAAGGAAAAACGCACCTCAGTGAAGGGCTCTTATCTCTTCACCCAACCTACAGGCTCCAGACTGTGCCTCCTCCTTTGGTGAGGACAATAAACATTACACCTTATGGTCAAGCTAAATGTGTTCACTCTTACATTCATTTCTTATCAAATTTTTCATTATTTACTTGATTTATTTTCCTATCTGTAAAAACTGTATATCTTGAATTGAGATGAAACGTTACTTTTTTCATTACAATTAATGGAAATATTTTTCGTTTAATAGCTTTTCTCTTAGCAGCAAAGTTTTCAAGAATGAATTATTGGTGTACTTGTTATTTAAACTTCAATGTAAGAATGACATTTAGGAGCCTACCTTTAGGTGAGTTATGTGAGATGCTAGGAGGGAATAAAGGATGTGAATAGTTCTAGAACACTTAATGAGAATAAGAGAAATAATCTGTCTTAAATCAAGACAGAGGATTTTTTTTTTTTTAAACACAACAATATTTGTAAAGGATATTTACTCTGATATTTTATTATCATTGTGACATGACCTATACTGTTTGGAAATTTTTTTAAAGTTTACTTGTTAGAAAAGCAACAATAATACTAGGAGCCTGGCAAATTCTCTCCCCCTGCCCTGCTTTTTAAAATAATTTAGAATTATAATTTATATATTTTTTGTACTGAGACCTGAGGCTTTTTTCAATTTTTTTTTTTACTGTGGTAAAATACACACAACATAAAATTTACCATCTTAACCATTTTCAAGTGTACAGTTCAGTGGGATTACATACATTCATAATGTTGTGCAACCATCACCACCAGCCATCTCAATAGCTCTCTTCATCTTGCAAATCTGAAATTCTGTACCCATTAAACAATAATTCCCCATTGCACCCTCCCCTCCAGCCCATTCTGACTACTCTAGGTACCTCATATAAGTGGAATCATATGGTATTTGTCTTTTTGTGACTGGCTTATTTCACTTAGCATAATGTCCACAAGGTTCATCCATGCTGTAGCATTTGTCAGAATTTCCTTCCTTTTTAAGGCTGAATAATATTTCACTGTCTTTATAGACCACATTTTTCTTATCCACTCATCTGTTGATGGATACTTCGTTGTTTCCATGTTTAACTATTGTGAATAATGCTGCTATGAACATGGGTGAACAAATATCTCTTCAAGACTCCGCTTTCAATTCTTTTGGATATATACCCAGAAGTGGAATTGCTGGATCATATATTAATTCTTTTTTTAATTTTTTGAGGAACTACCATACTGTTTTTCCATAGAGGGTGCACCATTTTATATTTCCACCAACAATTCACCAGGGTTCCAATTTCTCCACATGCTCACTAACACCTGTTATTTTGCGTTTTTTTGATAGTAGTGATCCTGATAGGTGTGAGGTCATGTTTCATTGTGATTCTGATTTGCATTTCCCTAATGATCAGCGATGCTGACCATCTTTTCATGTGATTATTGGCCATTTGTATATCTTCTTTGAAAAAATGTCTATTCAAGTCCTCAGACTTAAGACTTTTAAGAAATGTATATACCCATATACTCACAGTGAACATTACCATCTCCCCAAAAAGCTTTCTCATGCCCTTTTACAGTCAATCTTTCATCCCTCACCCTACCTTTTCACAAGAAAACTATAGAACAATATCACTCATGATATAGACACAAAAATCCTCAAAAAATATTAGCAAACAGAATCAAGCAACATATAAAATAGCTAGTACACCACGACCAACTGGTGACCAGGATTATACATATGAACATGAATTAAGGTTGATTTGACATTCAAAAGTGAATTAATGTTAGACACCATATTAGTAGAATAAAGGGAGAAAAACCATAAGCTAACCTTGAAAGTCACAGAAAAAGTATTTCACAAAATCTAACACCCACTCATGATAACACCTCCCAACAAAGCAGGAAGAAGGGAATTTCCTCAATCTGATAAAGGGCATCCATGGAAACCCACAGCTAACACTGTATTTAATGGTAGCAGACTGAACACATTTCCCCTAAGATCAAGAACAACGCAAGGATGTCTCTTCTTGCCACTTCTCTTCAACGTTATCCGGAAGGCTCTAGCCAGTGAAATACAGCAAAAAGAATAAATTAAAGGCATCCAGACTGGAAAGGAAGCAGTAAAACTCTATTCACAGATGACATGATCTCGTATGTGGAAAATCCCAAGGAATACACCAAAATTTCTTGAATTAATAAATGAGTTTAGCAAGGTCACAGTATAAGATACAAAATATCTTTATACTATATCTTTATACAATATCTTTAAAAATATATATCTTTATAAAATATCTTCATACTAGCACTGAACAATTTGGGAATGAAATTAAGAAAACAATTCCATTCATAACAGCATCAAAAATGATAAAACACTTAGCAATACATCTAACAACTCAAGGCAATACTTAATAAAATCCTAGAAGGCTATTTTTTTTTTTTCAAGAAATGGGAAGCTTATTTTATCCGGAGGTACAAAGGACCTAGAATAGCCAAAATAATTTTGAGAAATATGGAGGACTTCACTACCTGATACCAAAACTTACTATGAAGTTACAGTAATCAAGATAGTGATATTAGCACAAGAATAGGCATATATATCAATGGAACAGAACTGAACCCAGAAATAAAGTCTTACGTTTACGGTCAATTTATTTTTGACAAAGGTTTCATTACAATTCAATGAGAAAAAGATCATCTTTTCAACAAATGTTATTGGGCAACTAGATATTCACATATCAAAAAAAGAAAAACATAGATCCTTACCTCACATCGTAAACAAAAATTAACTCAAAATGGATCACAGATCTAAAAGAAAGAACTAAAACTATGAAACTTCTAAAACTTCCAAAAGCACAATCCATAAAATAATAATTGATGAGTTGAACTTTATCAAAACAAAAATCTCTTCAGCTTCAAAAGATGCTATTATTTTTCCTATGAGTTATATAACAAGTCACCACAAACTCAGTGGCTTACAACACCTCACACATTTATTATCTTACAGTGCTGGGGTCAGAAGTCTACAATCAAGGTGTCAGCAGGGCTATCTTCCTTTTGGAGGCTTTAGGGGAGAATCCATTTCTTTGCCTTTTCCACCTTTAGCGGCCACCTGCATCACCTGCATCCTTGGCTCATGGCCTCCTTGTCTATCTTTAAAGCATAACCCTCCAACCTCTGGTTCCACTGTCTTTTTTCCTGATTTTGACACTCTTCCCTCTCTCTTAAAAGAATCTTTTTTCCCCGGTTTTATTGAGATATAATTGACATGCATCACTGTATAATTTTAAGGTGTACAGCATAATATTTTGACTAACATATATTGTGAAATGATTACTGTTCTATAAACTTAGCATCCATCGTCTCATATAGATACAAAAAAAAGCAAAAACATTTTTTTCCTTGTGATGTGAACTCTAGGATTTACTCTCTTAACAACTTTCCTATACCTCATACAGCAGTGTTAACTCTTGTCATCATATTGTACATTCCATCCCTAGTACTTATGTATCTTATAACTGGAAGTTTGTACCTTTTTGACCACCTTCCTCCAATTCCCCTACCCTTACCCCCAACCTCTGGTAACCACAAATCTGATCTCTTTTTCCATAAGTTTTTTTTTTTAGATTCCACATATAAGTGAGATCACGCAGTATTTGTCTTTCTCTGTCTGAATAAGGACCTTTTTGATTACAGTGGGCCCACCTGGTTAATCCAGGATAACTGCCCCATCTCAAGATCCTTAACTTAATCATATCTAGAAATGTCCATGTTACAGTGTAAGGTAATATACTCACAAGTTCTAGGAATTAGGACGTGGATATCTTTGGAGGGGTTGTAATTCTGTCCTCCATAGACACCATTAAGAAAACGAAAGACAAATCACAGTTTGCAAACTGTACATCTGATAAAGGACTTGCATTCAGATTATATAAAGAACTCTTAAACAGTGAGAAGACAGACTACTCATATAAAAAATGGGCAAAAAAATTGAACAGACATCTCACCAAGAAATATATACAAATGGCTAACAAGCACACGAGAAGATGCTTGGCATCATTATTCATTAGGGAAATGCAAATTAAAACCACAATAAGATACCATTTCACATCCACTAGGATGACTATAATAAAAAATACAGATAATACCAAGTGTTGGTGAGGATGATGAGATACTGAAATCCTCACACATTGCTGGTGGGAATATACAATAGTGCAGCCATTATGGAAACAATTTGGCAGTTTCTTACAAGTTAAACATAAACTTACCATAAGACTCATTAATTCCACTCCTAGGAATCTACCCAAGATGAATGAAATTATATGTATATACAAAGATATATACATAAATGTTGACAGCAGCATTATTCATAATAGCCAAAAACTGAAACAAGCTAAATATTCACAAGCTAGTGAATGGATAAACAAAATGTGGTATATATCTATCTAACAGGATACACTTCAGCAATAAGAAGGAATG